ACAACGCGGGAGAAATCAGGAGCACGATATAACTCGAGTCCATTAGTCACTGGACGCTTAAATCTTTCCGTTCCAACGATCCCATATGGCATCGCGAAGCTAGACTTGAATGTTTATTCTTTTTGACTCGTTAAAAATAAAAGTATTGAGACATCGAGAGAAATTGAAAACAATTTTTTTTCTATGCTTTGACTTGTTAAATAAAAATATAAATGAAACATTTTACAATGAACAGACACAAGTTTATAAGTAGAATCTCAACCCCCTTGTAAGGGTTGCGCTCCCCAACTCAACAACGTTTACAATTCTTATTCAAATAAAAATTTCAAATAACGTACAATAGATAAACAACTAACCATGATTTATTAAATAAAAATTAGTGAAATATTTCATCATAGACGTTAATATATTAATATATATTAATGATATACGTTAATTATATTCCTCATCGGTTAATATTTAATGTCAGTCAATTTATCTATCAATCACTTATACAGGGTGTTCGGCCACCCCTGGGAAAAAGTTATTAACAAAATTATTGTTAAAAATTATTAATAAAATTTGCCCAACTACACGAATTTTTTTCTCGAAAGTGCGTAAGATTTCGAGGGTATGTCTATTCACCAAAAATGATTGTTATTGACCCTTGCAACCAAAAATAATTTTTTTAGACCGTTTTGAAATTTTTTAATTTTGTCAAAAAATTTGCCCACCTTCTCGAATTTTTTTCTCGAAAGTGCGTAGGATTTCGAGGGTATGTCTATTCGCCAAAAATGATTGTTATTGACCCTTGCAACCAAAAATAATTTTTTTAGAACGTTTTGAAATTTTTTAATTTTGTCGAAAAATTTGTCCACCTTCTCGAATTTTTTTCTCGAAAGTGCGTAAAATTTCTGGGGTACGCGTATTCACCAAAAATGATCATAATCGACCCCTACAACTAAAAATAATTTTTTCAGAACGATTCAAAATATTTTAATTTCGTCCCAAAATTTTCCTGCCATTATGGAACTTTGATCGTTAATAACTTTTTAACGAAGCCTCGATCAACAAATTGGTATTCTTGATTTTCGTCTTATTTTGGTCTCTAGAATCTTCCATTAAAATTTTTCCCAGAGGTGATCAGACACCCTGTATATCGAACGCTATAGATGGTCAGCAAAATCGATCGACGATAAACGAATAATCGATGAACGATTGCAAACAATATTCGAACGTCTACCGTTTGTTTCCAGCAATCGATTGACCCGAACGCCAGACTCGTTTGGTCGCCAGGGGGGGGAGGTAAGGAAATTATTCGCCGCGTCGAGGAAAAAAGTCGATTAGTAATTCGGTGTACAACGGTTAAGGGTTACCGAACAGAGCGCATCGTCTTTGAGGATCAGGTTGCGAGACCTGCCTTACCGGCCATACGAGAAATGCTAATACACCAAAACCCCCGGGACCCTCGAGACCTCCGAGACCCCGAACACCTCAAAGACCCCGTCGTGAAACCCTTTACCGTCTCTTCGTTACTTTCTTCTTCCTCTCCCTTCCTTATCCGTTTCGCTTTACTTTGCCTCAAGCCTGGCGTGATTGGTCTCGACAAAATTCTTCGAGCTGTCTTTTGAATTTTAAATTCTTTTCTATCGAAAGCCACTAGCCGACAGCGTTGTGCTACTTGAACCCTTTCGTTCCAAAAAAGAGATGTTTTATAAAAATAGTAACGAATCGTTCATTGTTATCCCCGTTAATCGATCGATAATATTTTGACGAACTTTATTTCCATCTTTCAGAGTTTGCCATTTCTTCTCATCGATCGTAACCCGTTTTAACCGTTCACAGTTTCCTTACAAAAGAATTTTCTATCGTCAACGGTGTAAGCAAGTTATTCTCGTAATAGTATTCAAAGTTTATTCTCGCAGTATTCAAATATCTATAAAATATACGGATACCAGTCTATTGGAATATTCCTAACCTAACATTCGATACTGCATCGTGTGACAGGTTCTACGACCCTTTGTTCAATAATTACAGCTCACAGATTTAACGTAGAAACTGCTTCATAATTGTTTTCGTGTATATTTTTAAACATTTTAAATAGATTTCCATTGTCGTATAGTTGAAAATTGAAAAAATATGTAATTAATGAAATAAAAAAAAGATGTGCTTTGAACGGGGCGCGAACCTGTGTCAAAAGCTTTGCAGCGAATGTTTTATTCTGACGCTCTATCGATATGTAAAATTTGTTACGTAAACGACTCTTGTTGCTCGTTAAGAATTTCCACTAACCTCGGTTCCCTTCGGTTTCATTGTCCCCCGGCGAAAGTGTCGAGTTCATTAATCCGCGAACAATCCCAGAAACCGGTGACACTTGAGAATTATCCGGCAGACTCTCGTCCGTTTCGGCGATGCGCGATAGCACCGTCATCCGTTGAAAACCGGACATCGTGTTTCCCCGCGTTTCGAGTCGAGCTTTTCAATTTATCGCGTTCGAAAACACGCTCGCGCGAAGGCGATATCCGATCCTCCTCGGCCAAGGTAATCGAGCATGAATTTTTCAACGAGTCCCTTCGCGAAGAATCTTGGTCCTCCTTCGTCGCGATAGAAACAAGGAGATAACGAGGCGATGAATATGAACGAGGGTAGAGGAAAGGACTAGTCGCACGCGCGATTCGCAGTATCCGGAAAGCCCCTTTTAGAATTCAACGCTCTTTGTTCGGTTCAAGTGGCTACACGAATCTCGAGACGATCACGATCTTCGCGACTTCTCCCGGTGACCTGCAAGCAATTTGAAGCCAATGTTAGGTAATACGCTTGAGGGATCGTAATTACGATATACAGGGTGTCCGGACAACCCTGGGAAAAATTTTAATAGGGGATTCTATGGGCCAAAATAAGACGAAAATCAAGAATAGCAATTTGTTGATCGAGGCTTCGTTAAAAAGTTATTAACGTTTAAAGTTAAAGTGTGCAGCGTGCACGGTTGCCGTCTCACAGGCGGAACTTTAAACGTTAATAACTTTTTAACGAAGCCTCGATCAACAAATTGGTATTCTTGATTTTCGTCTTATTTTGGTCTCTAGAATCCCCCATTAAAATTTTTCCCAGGTTAGCCGAAAACCCTGTACAGTGAGTGTCGCTTAAAATTGTACACCGTGATGCTTGCTAGATTGTTATTATGCATTTACGCTGAAGATATTTTAGATATAGATACATTAATATGTTTTAATACATAGTGGCTATAAATGAAAAACTTTATCTTGTAACCAAGGAATTGAACATATTCAGAAATAACGTACTGAAATCACCGGTCACTAAAAATCGTGCAAGTTGGTACGACTGTAATTGTTCGGGGGATACCCCATGTTTTTGAAATCTAGTGTTGGTAGCCCTTTGGTTACTTCATCGTTCGAATGTTTTACTAAGCAAACTCCACAAATCAGTGTGTACTGAACGTAAAATAGTAAAAATGAAACAAACTTCTATCGAAGAACGAAACTTGGTTATTTACCACTATAAAAATAAAAAAAGTTACAGTGACATTTCTGAAATTACGAACAGAAGCAGAAGTCAAAAAAGTATTTAGAATTAGTTATTGACTAATATCGATAATAACGATTATCGATGTAATGATTGTCTGTGAGGTAAAAGTAACACATCAATATAACCTCGAACGTAACCGCGAATAACATTTCATGTTCGAACTACCACCGAGAGAAAGTATTTACAAGCATGTTTTTATAATTGATCGTAAAATGTTGCTGCCCTTGTCAGTTCGTCGATATTTCGATACAGAGGACGAGAACAAATATTCCGTTTAATGCAACCTATCACGATATTTCCGAACGATTTAAAGGACAAGCGTGTAAACCTTGGGACACGTGTTTCTTTATATTCCAAGTAATTGCCAAACGTGTAATAATCTTAACAATGAAAGACAACGCGAATCGATTCATCGTGGACTAAATTTTTCGCTGTCGACAGCACTCGTTTTAGATCGAATATACATACGTATTCGTATAACTATCACGTGGCACACAGCTACCAATCCATACGCGATAATTACTATTTGGAACATACGTTATGACAAGTAAATCCGAGAACAGCACAACACAATACGTTCAAGTAAAGGCTTCAAGAAATCAGGTTGCTTCGAACACGTTATGTGGTTAGGTAAGTTTAATCGAATGTTGTAAACATTCAAAATTAGAGGAAAACAAAATTGATCACTGTTCGAAACTACAAATGGAAAGACACAACATCGTTAATTGTCCAATTACTTACATTCCTCCGGGATATCCGCAAAATTTGATGAGCAAAACTACCGAGGCACTTTCAGAAAAGTAATTTCTATCGGTTATACCGTTGATGATTCCTTTTCGACGTGTCAGGGCAATGTGTAAAAAGGAAATGTCAGAAATACAGAGTCAACTACGATAATATCAGGCGAATTGCGTTGACTCGTGTCGAGCTAAGCGATCTTGGTAGCCCGCCGAAAATGTGTTATTAACGCGAACAGCGCCACCTAGGAAAACACGAGAGGCAAAGCGCGAATGAAAACAAATGACGACTGGCCAATAATTAACTGCTTCGTGATTTCTTGATTAGACGATCGTGATAATCGAAATCATTGATCAAGTAATCGTAAACTTGATGTCAAATCAAAAAACATGTTACTTTATAACACATTATTTTTTCAACAAATTGACAATGATTCCTATAAATTAAAAATATGCAGGATCGTTCAGCAGGCTTCTAGCATATTTGGAGGAAAAGAATAAAACGAAACTATTTTATTGCTTGAGTAGAAAGTTAAATCTTTATTTGTAAATAAGTGAAATGAAAACAAAAATTAATCAAAAAATAAATTGTATATTTTTTTTAAATATATTGTATAATTAGTTGCTTATATTATTCATCGAGTGCGATTACCAAGTAATTAGTAATTTTATTTAATAACTAGCTTCATTACACAGTAATCATAATTCAAGGGACAAAGATAAATAGAAAAGGGCTTGCTTGTTGAACGAAGTTTATATAATTTATTTATTTCGCGTAAAATCTCAAACATTTTTTCACCTTTTGCGTGTAACAACATTCATCGAATATAAATTACAATAAAATATACTTATATATCCTGTATAACCAGGAAAGTAACAGCTGTACTGTAAAAAGATCATAAATATTTATCGACTAAGACAATTGCCATATGAATCTCGGTACGGCAGTACGTTGAATGGAAGTAAAAACGAAGGCACTTAGAAAATTTCAAGTAGTACCAGTCAGACGGTGCAAAAATAACGCGAAACCGTAGTCGTAGAATCTGTTTGTCAAATTTCTCACGCCGTATAATTCCTCAAAGTGTATATACGTATATATACGTATATACGCGCAGATATAAAAATATTCTTTTCTTTTTTTTTTTCGAATTTTTCGACGCACATTATATTTCAAATACAGATATAGACCAAGCGAATACCATTGCGGCGAACACATGTGTTCTCCAATATGTTAAAATATATTTTTCCGACTGGATTCAGTCGGGCTCAGGGGAACGGCTCGAGCAGACTTTGGTAAAGATTTCGAAGAAACGATATACCCGGTTTTCGTTGCGTTTGTAACGAGATTTTTCGGTTTTGGCGGAAGTGGCGGAGGCTTCGACAGTTTCACGGCCGACGATGCTTGACTATCGAACGTGTCCAAAACAGTCGCTCTGGAGCGTGATCCGTTCTCCAGAATGGTCCGATCGCCGACCATTATGGTCGTATCTAAAATGAACGATCCATCTTGTGACTTACTCCAAGATTCGTTTCCACCGGCGGACACAACGAATCGTTCGTTGATATTTCCGTTCCTCGATGGTGCCACCGTGTCTTGGCCGTGCCCGTCACAGTTTTGTCGTTCGTTAATCGAGCCGTAAAACTTGGAGTTTGCTTCGCAATTGGCGGACACTATCCTAGGTCTTCGAACCTTGTTCCGATCCGTCGGCTTACCATTTTCCTTGTTCTGATCAGTAATTTCATAGCTTTAAGGGTCGAAACGCAACATGATAAAAGTTTCAGGGATAAAGTATATTTAAAAACGATACGAGGTATGTGTGTCTGCGCGCGTCATTAAATCCCGTATCGTCGTTAAGATACGCGTTTTTATTAATATGCCACGGAGGGATGTGATCATCCGTTTACCTTTAAAAAGTCTGGCAACTCAAAATTGATCTCCGTTCCTCTCTGGTCTTCCAATCTGGATCTTTGCGCTCGTTTCAAACCTTCGTACAGATCTACGAACGTACGTGTTTTCGATTGTTATTATAACTATTATTAGCAACGCGGTAGCAAACCGATTTCTTGATTTAATGTGTATTGTTCACCTTCGCCGTCAAATCTTCCTGGTAACTGCAATTTCACACCGTTCCGCCACTTTGCTATTAAAGGTGGGTGAGACTTGACTGGCTCTTCGGCCGCGTAATCGTTCGGATTACCCTTTTCGCTCGAACATTTGGACTTTCCCTTTAGCATAAATAGGATAAATAACGCTCGTACAGAATCAGAAGAAAATAGCATTACGAAACATCGTGTATCCCGTTACCTTCTTTTTTCCGTGCATCGTAGAATCTCGGAGAAAAAACTTGCTGGGTAGAATGGAGGAACCTTCGGACCGTTGATCGTCCGACTACACGTGAAAGCATAAACAACTTGAAGCATGGGAAAGGTCTAGCCTTCTACGTATTCTTTTCGCTAGTTTCTTAAACATACTCTTTCTATTACCTTACACGAGCCTTCGTTATACTGATATTTACTCGCACCTTTGCCCACTAGGAGCTCCTCGAACACCCTGTTAGTGATCTCGTCCAGAGTGGGTTGACCGTGTAGTACATCGTGCGCGTATTTAACCGTGTGCAATTCCTTTTGAGGATCTGCAACGGGAAAATGTTCTTTCCATCACCATTTCGACTCGATGATATTTCACGATTTCCACGAAACCAGATACAACTAAACTTTAACAACTATACCTTCGTCTTTTACGTTCATCAAAGTTAACCTGGCGGGAGCATCGATAGCTGGCATGTCCATGCAAATACAGTGATTTTCGCTCCATACCGTGATCATGTCCACATTGAAACCGTACTTATTCAGAAGCGGTTTTAGCACTTCCTTAAGGGTCCTCCCTTTGTGCGCGATCACGGTGATCACGCGACGCGAAAATAAGTCTACTTTCAATATCTTCGTCGGAACGACTTCCACTTCTTGGCCGGCCAACACCGCCGATGGATATTTCGCTTCTATCGTCTAAAAGTATAAAAAGAATCTATAACTAACGTTGCATCGAGTCGTCTTCCTAACGTAATGATCGTTATCGGTTACCAATTACCATACTTCACTGCACGTAAAATACACGAATAACTGTAGTATCTGTGCAACTACAAAAGCTGTGTCGAAAATGCATGCACGATACCGTTGTTGTTGCTTTTAGTTTGTTTCAAGAGGAACATATTTTCGACGGCATAACCTCATTCCAAGTAAAGTAGCTTTCAAGATTTCGAAGCAACCTTTTAAAATTTTCTTTGTATTACATACAGATATATGCAATATGCAGATCACAAACGCACGCAAAGAATTTTCTCGTTTACATAATGAATAAATATTTAATCACTTTGTTGTTCTTAGAAAAGTATACCTCGACGACAAATGGCATTCGTGAATCACCAATGATAATTAATCCGTGACTAACGAATCAAATTAATCTAGGCAAAACCATATTTGCTATTCTTATTCCTTATCTGGATAAAGATGAATAATCCAGAGAACCTAAATGATGACAAATGTATTGTTCTATTTAACTATAAAACACTCTCAACATGGAGGAATGGCTTCCTCTCGTACGTTTCACAAGTATACAGAGTTTTCGACTAACCTGGGAAAAATTTTAATGAGAGATTCTATGGGCCAAAATAAGACGAAAATCAAGAATACCAATTTGTTGATCGAGGCTTCGTTAAAAAGTTATTAACGTTTCAAGTTCCGCCTGTGAGACGGGAACCGTGCACGCTGCACACTTTAACTTTAAACGTTAATAACTTTGTAATGAAGCCTTGATCAACAAATTGGTATTCTTGATTTTCGTCTTATTTTGGTCTCTAGAATCTCCCGTTAAAATTTTTCCTCAGTATGTTACGATTGGAACATACTGTAGTCATTATGCTTACCTTGTAAATCAGGTATATCAAGATACGTAACTTTCAGTTTAATCTATCTTCGTTATCTGAAGTCCATAACCTTCTATATTTTCAAGTTTCACTTTCACGAAAGTTGCCAATTAAAAACTATTTCTCAAATAAATTTTAAATGTATTAGTGGTTTAATGTTGTTGCGTTTACATTCCATTTTATGTAACATATACGAATTAAAAAAGACAGTAGATAGACTTTCATTCCTTAGAAATCTTAATAAATCTTGCTTGTACACGTAAGAGGTGATGAACATCCGTTATGGTAAAAAATGTCGCATAAATTTTCTTAAATGTAATTCAGTCTCAATTTGGTTGTAGATAGTCACGCGAATGCACAATAGATTCTGGGTTAAAGTGCACCGTAGTAAAGGGATTAAAACGAACGACGATCACTTGTAAATCTTGAAAACAACTTTGTTCGAAACAAAGGTAAGCCGATCGAAATACGTCCTTCTGCAAACAAACTAAATTTTATCCGAAACCGTTGTTCTCGCGAACCAATAGATTCGGAGAAAATGACGTGAAAGTAATTGAAACGATACAATCTGGTTACATTGAGCGAGCAATTTGATTAGGTAGCAGAAATCTATCTGGAAGAAGAGATTTTGCGGTATGTAGAGCGCAGGAAACCAAGCACGTTCCAGGAATAACGCGAACCCGTGTTAATGAGACAAAAACGATTTTGTTAGTTCCGCATAGTGGTTTCGAAGGATGCGTTAAATAAATACGAGAGAACACAAACCTCGTCTGTGGCTAGGATTAGAACGTCATAGTTAGAGTATCGGAGAGCTCTTTTATCGAGAAGTCGTGTAACCACATCTTTAATACTCTCCGTTTCGCTAGTTGGTACAACCGTAGTCGATCCATCGGGTAATATTACCCGACACAACCCGGTACATTTGGCGCGAACTTCTTTCGTTTCGTTCGACTGTCCTTCGTAGGACGATAAAGACTACAAGTTACACATACAGCAGCTTTGTAGATTCGAAATTAAATGTGTATTTTATAACGCATTACATATTACGTATCGACTATTACTATCTATCTGTTTTTGACGGCGCGTTAACGGTTCTCGCTCGTCTTCAACAAATTTCTTTATCCAATACCAATACTATATAGTAGATTTGCAATGCATACCAAACTAACGTATATCTCGATAAATTAAACGTATAGTAGTCGTCGACTTAAATGCATCGAATAGGATTATTTCACTATCTACATTTACGTAACACGCAGAGCAGGAAGATACTCACATGTTTGTGAAACGATTGCCTCAGGGCCAGATCCCATGACGCTAATGAAGATCTGCTACTAGATATAGAAATACTGTCGTCATTATTATTACCTTCCGCCTCTCTTTTCATAGTCGTGAAACTTTTATATATGGTTTCGCTTCTACTAGGTGTTTTACTGTACTCAGACTCTCCACGATCTTTCGATTTGGACCTACGGACATGTTTTGATATTTAAAATTGAAAGCACTACTTCTTTTTGCTTTTCCTAATATACGACAGATTACCATTACCTATTCTTTCTATTCCATGGAAGAATAGATTTCCTACATCGATCCTCAGCATCTGAATGGCTCTTTTTTAACTTTACGCTAGGTGAACTGGTCAGATTCAGATCACAGTCCACAACACCGATTACAGAACTTCCCGTTTCTATACAATGACGATATAGATCGGACCTTAAGAATCTAGGATAGCTGTCGAATTTCATTAAATTGAAAACCTGCTTTTGAGCCTGAAAATAAACGGTACAACGATCAGTTCCATAATGTAAAGAAAAAGATGGAACGACAACAGAGTAGCGATGGTAAAATGGTGTAAGGAACGTTATCTTCACCTGTAGAAAAAGATTAGTGGGTGCTTCTCCGAGAAGTTCCTGAGTTATTTGACCAGCAGCATGACTGTCGACGTTCACAGGTTCTGCAGCTGTGTTGGACAAGTGACGTTGATAAATTTGATTAGCCAACTTGCGTCTTGTTACAATATCTTTAGTGTCTTTGTATCTCTCGCAGGCTGCCCAAAAGTAGATATTTTCATGACTGAACTCCTTCTTTAAGAACTCCTTTAAAAGAACGATACGTATGAAACGTTTGAGCATAGATTTTAGGTATCGAAAGATGAAATACAATTCTTACCGCAAATGTTTGCAATCCTTTTGGATCTTCCAGTAATTTCTCAAAACCACTGGCCCATGCATGTATACTCTTGCAGTCGGTGTTTTTGTCGCATAATTCTGTACTACCGTGCTGCGTCGAAGAAGCATTAAAAAATTTTACCTCGTTGATTAACATCGTTAACCAGGATTAAACGAGTCATAGGGGGAACGATCGAGCGCGTGCGCGATCACATCGTTACGTATTTTATCTTTAAATATCGTACGTAAATTAGGGAATGGAAAAAGAATAAACGAACATCATACTACTGTTTTTCACTGCGAACGGATCTAATTTGTTCGTTAAAGTCAATAAACTTTAAGTTCCCTCAAGCGTGACACAACGAAGGCGTGCCTACGTTTCGCTTCCTATACTATACATACTAGCTACGTACAAAAAATTTAAAAGGTCGAAATTATATCGGAAAGGTATTGTTTAAAAAAAAATTTAGACCACTGCACGATTTAATTACGAACGGAATTTAAAGTAAACAAAAGAGAAGTAACACGCATGTTTTCTTTCACGATTCTCACCGATTATATCAACCGGACGTCTTCCGTGTGTGCGTACACAGATTTACGTGTCAAAGTATACAAGGGAGACGGGAACAGCGTGAGAACGAAGAATATTCTCACATACTAATAAATAATTTCGAAGTTTCCCGTCTCTTTTTACCGCGTTCGTCGACAATAGACGGTACCCCATATATATATATATCTTTGCGTCGGTTATTTCTTTCGACGTAATATCCATTGGTGAAGGCTCGAACAATTACGTTCTGTCATGATGAGTGACCAACAGGAATTGAAATAATATGACGCTGACTCGTGAAAGATCGAGGAAGAAGAAGTCATCGTTAATTCCTGGAACGATACGAACGTATCGACGTATCGCATCGACTTTGCGTTGTCGATCACTGATCATTGATTGCTTCGTTCGAGTCTCACTTGCCTAACCCGTTCGTAAAGCAACCGAAATGGGCAACCCGTTAAGACGACGAATTAATCTCGAAGCAATTGAAAATTATCGAACGATCGAGAATCTCTACAGAACGCGAGGCAAATATTTTCGCGCGATCTCGATTCAAGGGAACAATATCGACCGTCTTGTGCCCCACGTACCGATTTCACCACGGTGTCCATGTCGTGACCGAAGATCGTGTTCCTTCGTATAGCCCCGCCACGGTCCCATTTATCGCGAGGAATAGTAAAAGATACTTGTACGAAAATAATTGGTTTACGAAGTGATTTTCCTCGAACGGCTCGTAAAGACTGCCGTTGCCCCGAGTCCGTAATAATAAAGGCTCCGCCCAGTTGCAACGATGCACCGTTGACAATTGTGATTCCACACACGGTGTCTGTTCGACTCGGCGGTCAGCCGAGCACAACGTACACGGACACAATCAACACGATCGACCGATCGATTCGACGCGATCGAGCACAGGCAGCACGTACCGCGAACGTTTTGATCAATGAATTCTTCCAAATTACGAGTTCAAAGATCACCGTGCATTAATCAGCACCATCGTAACCGTTACAATCGACGTTACGTTCAACATGTCACTCTCATGTGCACACTGCTACGAGACCATCTACTCGCCCGTACTTCATTTCCTTCTCTCTCTCTCTCTTTCCCTCTCCTACTCAATTTACTCGGTCGGTCGGTCGGTCGGTCGGTCGGTCCGTTCGTTCGTTCCGTCCGTCCATCCGTCGGTAGCTCGCTCACTCGTTCGTGCAAAGCGCAATCTTTCATTCACTCATCCGCTTACTCGATTCCTCTCTTGCATTCTTCCCCTCGCGGCCCAAGGTTTCGTAACCCCAATCGTTTCTCTCGTACATCGTGTCTCTCGCTCCCTCGCACGGCATCCACTACCACTTCATTCTCTCGTTCATTTACCCGTCAGTTCACAAGCACGAACACACGCGCGTGCACGTATTCAGTTTTTAGATTCTTCCTGTTTTTTCTACTTTTTCATTTTCTTTTTTTTTTTCTTTTTACATTTTACTAATATACACGTGTATCGATTAACAGATCATACCGAGTCACGCGTTATGGAAAATCGTAAAGTGGACCTTACCAGACAGGTATCCTGCACACAGGTTCCAATGTTCCGAATCTCTTGTAAACTTCCCCAAGGGCGTGAGTTATCCGATTTATCCGAGTATGTTTGGCAGAGAGGACGAGCATAATCCATACTCGCGTTAAGGTCTTCGAAACTATGCACTAAGGACTTGGAGATACCGGAGAAAACTTTCGGACTGAATTTGTCCCGCGTGTCGGTCTCCGTCGATTCCGCTAATACCGTAAACGCCAATAATCTTTTTGATCTGGCTATAGAATCGTCAGACGTGTCGATCGGATCTTCTATACCGTGCAGCATCGCGGTGGTGCAAACGGACGCGAGGGAACCAACGGACGAACTAACCAACCCCTGCTTAACTGTAGAGGCAGATGGTAATGGACAGGTGGGCAAGTCCCCCCTCTTCGTTCCCTTTTGTACATCGGAATGCATCTCGTGATTCTCTATCGTCGCCGTGTACGTACTTATTCCCTCGCAAAAATCATTAAAAACAACACTTCCACGAGACAATTCCGTATTACTTTTACACGCGTCCGATTCGTTTGTTTCGTTCCAGCATGCGTTAGATACGGCTCGAACCGTCAATCGAAAATCGACGGCCTCGTTACCGTACGTTCTCGACGGATGATCACACGCATCCTGAAAATATATTGCATTCATTTAAGGAAAATTCTTTAAAACGGAACGCCGTAAAAACAATTCATTTGTTTTATTTCCTCTTTTCTTTTTTTTTCTTTTTTTTTCATTTACATATTCGAATAGTTCTCTGCGGTCGTAACGAATTCGCTACAAGTCGACAGAATTTTTCTCGTGACTTTGACGCGTAATGGAACGATAGAACATAACTGGTTTTCTTTCAAAAACTTCAAACTTTGAAAATTTGACACTAACTACGGAAGTACAAATTAAAAAATCTCCCGATTTATTTTGACGTTATTAACACGTTCGTTGCCACGTGTCCCATTCTATTCGTACATAATTAAAAACATGTTCTGCATTTGTGGTTGTCCGATTGAATGGTGGTAGCGAACGTGTTAATTGTAATTTCAACAATTAACCGATACAAACACCGTGATCAACATACCCTGTATTCTGAAACAGGACAGCATCTTCTTCGGGAGACGTTTTGTACGATATTTTGATCTAAATGGCTTGTGCAATCGTCTTTAAAGCCAATTCCAGAATCGCTGTTACTCGAATGAGCAGTAGAAGTACTTATGTTACTCGGCTGCGGGGAAGAAGCATCTTGATGCCTCCGCATTTCGTTATAGGAACTTGCGTCCGTGCCTGCAGAGTCTGATATATACAAAGTTTGTATAGCACCGATAAGGCCATTGCAACTATCAGGAAATTCTTGACACACGTTTAATTCAGATGTTTTGGTGCACGTAAATCCGAATATATTACACGCGCTGGAATGCACTGCATGGTCAATTAATTTATAATAAATTGTAAAAACATGGCATGAGTTCGAAACAATATTTTCTTTATCTTTAACAGACTTAGTCAATATGCCAAAATACTGCTTGTCTTGTTCGGAGAAAGAGTTGCAAAATATTATTCTATAAGACGGATATTCCGCTATAACGCGATTTTCTGAATTGGTAAGCTTTATGTTTGCCACGTGTATAGTTAAGAGCACCGTAGTGGGATTTCTTTTCTCGGCTTTCAATCGTTTGATGCATTTTCTCAAAACCTGGAATTAGAAACACGGAAATTTCTTTCATCTTTGTATTCGTTGTATCAAATTATGTAAGTAAATGTTATACGCGACGTATGCGTTACCTGCATCATACAAGACGGATGCAATTGATTAGGAATGTCAATAGTTCCGAGATACCCAACAACTGTTCTATGTACTATCTTTTCAGAGTCTCTTTTGTGAGAGGCTGGCGGCGGTGGCGGCGGAAGAGGACTAGACATATCCCAACGATAATGTAAGCCGCAATAACTTCCTTGGCTTTGCGATGCGGTCGGTGCTCTCCCTGTTGCGTCAAACATAGCACCGCTTTGCAGGTCCCGCACAACTTTGGCAACTCTACATTGCAATTGTAACGCTCCCATGTTACTCGTACGTGGTTTGTGAGTGTATTTAGGCTTGCAGCGTACTGTTGCAACTCCTTCCTCGTCCGAAGAATCGGAATAATAATTTTCAGCTATTTGTAATCTCAGGATACCCTTGGAACGGCCAATTAATTGTACGACATCGTCGTGTGGTAGTCTACTGACATTGTGACCATTGACAGATACTAAATAATCGCCGGCACGTAATCCAGCATTTTCTGCCGGGCTTCCTGGAACAATGCAACTCAAAATACAAGGTTGCTGTCCCGAGATCGTAAAACCAAATCCTTTCGTTTCACGCAATACCTCCACTATCCTTACGCCGTAATTCACTCTCTTTTTCTTCCTTCTGTTTTGGTGCATTCTTGTGTTTTCTTTTCATCAATTCTCACCGAATCTACCGATAGAATTATCATCGAGCCAACACTTTCATGAACCAGAATATCTCTCGAACCATTCTTGCCTAAATTATAGCCCAACGAATGCTTTCAATTTTTTCGGCCGATAATTGGATATTCGAAAATCAAACGATTTCCCTTTTCCGTTGCACGATCGAGCACGTTGATCATCGATAATTAAATTCCATATAAAATTCGTTGCCGTCCGTTTACACTACGATCGCGACGGCGTTCTTCCTGCGCTCTTGCACCTCTTTCTCCTACACACTATATCACTATCATCGCGAAACTTAAAAACACGCTTTCAAACATTTTTCTGCTGCTGTACGCTTTGCGACATTCCGATGTTAAAATTTTCACTCGTAAATTATCTCGTGTACCCGAGAAGTTGAAGCAATTATAAAATGTTTTGATAGTCACTTTATTCCTTTTCTTCTGCTTCCATCCTTTCACTCCCTCCACTTCTACCTTTCTTTCGTTTACATCATTGTTCGTACCTATATTCATCGATTCACACACTTCCGGTGTATGGATACACGTTTCGACGACAGAAATTCTATCGCGAAGAATTTTCCCTTCTTTGATACCGTATCGCAACAACCATACCGGTGTTACGTACATTAAATACTCTGTAATTTTATGCTTTCTTTTCATTATTTCTACATATCAATGACATAACAAGAAATGCGTGTCTATCGTAAAATTAATCTAACATTTACTTTTCGGATTATTGTAACTTAAGCTCTCAATTGTTTTGTAGTACACATTCGATGTATAAACTTGTTCGTATAATTTGCTTTGAAAAGGTAATGCGAAACGAAACCTGATAAATCTTAATCAACAACTTTCACAACGATCTGCGGCGATTATTACAAGATATTTTATTAAAATTTCATTTGCTCTATTATGCCTCGTTCGATTCCATTAATTGCGACGAGCACGCGTTTCTTCAAATTCAATGGCATACTCATTATTTTACATTAGTCCCAATAACATCAATGGTACTCTAAAATTTACAAGCATTAGGCTTTATTGTTGGTAAGCATTTTAAGAAAGCAGTGTATGTAAAGTGTCGAGCATCGATGATCGACGCGGCATGAACGAAAAGACTAGCAGGGCACCGGTGTCCACCATGACATACAATGTGTTAATTTTAATACACTTCGTGGTACACTCGAAGGTTTCTGTGGCACCCATTTCTAAATCTCTTACTCGTAGCCCCGAAAAAATACAATGTAGGACATTAGAATATACTGGAGAGGCCATATGGCTCCCGTTGAAAAGCATTCTATGTACTATAGTATATTTATTGACGTTTCTTAACGATTAAAACTACGTGATGACAATCGATTGTAACAAGATTGTGTGACAACAGGATATTTCTCATAATAGAATTTATATTTATATAAATCATTTTACAATTGTACATGCGCTGTTAACAAGAGAAAATACATAAAGATATCGAATACATAGGAAATCCTAATAAACCTTCCACTTATCTTGGATACGGGAACTTTCTTTTTTTTTAGGGGGTTGCCTTCCAAAAAGTTTGGAAATCATTGCGCAGTCTTGTTAATACAGTGGACCAATACAATTTCGACCAATCGTAAAGAACATACGCCAATATGGCGGTACAACTTACGACCAATGGGATCCTTACCTATTGGACAGAATTATTTACGTTTACACCTTCGAGTTGCACGGACAATATATTGTATTGTTATGCGTAGAAGTACGCGTGTGCTCGATCGTGTGCGAAGTTTTTCATTTATTGTTTAGAAGTTTGTTTATTGATGTTTCTTTAAAGAAAGGATTTATATTTATTTTTACAGTTCACTTTGATCGGGCATTATAAACGATATATACATGTATACATATATTTCTTAGCTGTTAATGTATATACAAAGAAAGTTAGGTTAAGTCGTTCAAAGTAGTATTGTCAGAAACACAAAGAAAATATTCGTGCACAATGGAGACCGATATAGTTGGCTGGGAAATAGTAACAAATAATGTTGAAAATAGAATGATAAATATGTCTTTGACGCATAAATTGATACCGTACAGAAAATTGAAACGCAGAACTAAAGCGATGAATATTGCAATTAAACAGTACCACAAAATGATAACGTACAACAACTATATTAAAATTAAAACTTCTATACTGCGGAATATATCGGATGATAATCAAACCGACGACAGTGTTACTTTCTCAGATGACGACTACAATAACGTGTACGATTCTAGGTTATCTTTAAAAAGATATATGAGGCGGCGAAGGTCTGCAAGAACCTCAGACGATTCTTACGAAATAGGATATGATGGGGAAGAAAATGATATTTTTCGCGATGCAGTAAATAGAGAAAGAAGTATCAAAAAGTCAAAGAATAAATCTTCAGAAATTGTGAACGTAGGTTGGCAGGATGTCATTAAAAAAAAAAAATGTACCAGTCCACTGTTTTTTGAAAAAGGGTACGTTCAGAAAGACAAGCAACATAATTTAAATATACCTGATAAGAATGCTAAAGATACTACGTATCAAAAGACCAAAGTGTCAGCGAGCGATAAAACATGTATTACAGAGAAAATTATAGATCCACCTGTTAAAGCAATAGATTCAAAAACCATAGCGCACAGTATTACTCCACCAAAGAAAGTAAGAAGAAACAGCATTAAATCAATAAAAAAAACAGATTTAGTAACGAATGAAATCGATGAAAGACTTCAACCGATAGAAAGTTGTTATAAAATATGTGAAAGGAATTCAGCGCAGAAAAGAAAAAAAAAAAATTTAATGCCTCTGTTTGATGACAGTAATGCAACCCAAATTGATAATGATTCTTCTACTAATATAAAAGCGCAGTTAGATCAGAATCAATCTAATTGTTTCACCTCAAAACCAAATATTCAACAGTCTTTGGATGTTGGCAGTACAAATCACCCAAAAGATTCAGGTATTGAAGAAGATACAGAAGAAGAAGTCCCGGTACGTGCAGAGAGAATTCATAAAAAAGGACATAAGAAGATTCAAAAAGCTTGTCAAAGTATGGAAGTTACTTCTAGTTTAGATTGTCGAAATAACTCTGAAGCAAAAACAACTCCTGACGGTAATTTGATGTCCGATGATAACGATGTGTTAGATAATATGATATCAGAGGATCGTGATACATCGGATAAAATGGTATCCAATGATTCTGGTGCATCGGATAAAATGATATCCAATGGTCATGATGTATCAAATGAAATGGTATCTGATTGTCATGACACGTCAAAGGAAGTAGAATCCAATGATCGCAATACACTGGATGAAACGGTATGCGATGTTCATAGCACATCAGAGAATGTAGGATCCAACAATGACAATAGATCGGATAAAATGGTATCTGTTTGTCATAACACATCGGGAGGAGTGGAATCGGATGATCACGATATGTCAGATAAAATGAAATCCAATGACCACGACGCATCAAGTAAAATGGACTCTCAAGATACAACAGTGGTTACAACTGAAATTGTGGATGATGGAAGAAAGCAACAAGACAGTGTACAAAAGCAAACAAGACTGCAACCCAAAGTAACTTCTACAGAAATTATTAATAAAAAGTATAGAATCGTATCATGCAATTCATCGCTGCTGGATGATTGTTCAGATTCCGAATTAAGCATGAAATATGATTCCAATGAAAAATTATCGAAATCTGTGGCAACAGAGAACAGTATGGAAGACAGTATGTCACCTCTGAGCAAGAAACGTTTACAACAATTAAGAAGATTAAATTTAACTATGGACAGCGAGTCTAGCCTCAGCGAAGACGATGACGCGTGTTGCAACACAGAAAATATGAGGGACAAGTTACTCAAACGTTCTGAAGAGTCTTGCAATTCCTCAATCAATGAAGATGAAAATATAAATTTCAGGAGTCCTGTGTTGATCAAATTTGATAAAAGTATAACACGTAGAAATTATAAGCTTAGAAAACATAAAGAGAAAGAAAATTCATGTTCATTTATGGTACACGAGAAACGCGCCAAAAGTAAAAATTTGTCCCACAGTGAAGAATTCGGTCAATCGTTGAAATTTGCAGATTCTAATGATACTTTGACGCAGTGTACGCCTACTCGGAATAAGTCTTGCTCGAAAAACGATCGGCATGAAAGAATTTCAGAAAACTCTTCGACAAATATTATGTACTATTCGGATAAAGAACGCAACAGTTTCAAACAATATTCAACAATTACAGACGAATCGTTACAAGACGATGACGAAGTAAATAAAAATTCAGCAATTGAGAAAGCTGTAAATAAAGATCCAACAGTATGCAGTAGACCATGCAATGTACAAATGACAATTTTGTTTTTTTTTATTTTAAGCTGTGCTACTAAATGGCTCGTAAGTTTTTTTTAGTTGAAAATTGAAACGTCAATATAATAACATAAATAAAGATTGTTGATTGAAAAGTTTTGTCATACAGTCTTTTTTTATATAGCTTTCGAAAAGTCATATAACGAGATACGAGTATGCAATACTCCAATTATCAATTTTTGCAAAAATAATACTAAAAAAAGAGGGCGGTGGGACGAAGAACGACGAATGAAAAACTTATGAGCTATTGTAGTATTTTGTACATCTTCCAGTCCTTTTTCATAGTTCTTCTTTACAGTTACAACAATTAATAGAACGCGATAATTTAGTCTTTGAGACTACTGCACCTTCCATTACATGGGAAGATCTACACAAAGATGAGATCTTTCTTATAGACATTCCTACTAAGGTAAGTGGTTTTTAACTTGTGCTGTTAGAAAAATTTGTATGAACCTAACGCAATAATGTATCGTTTATAGATGTTAAAAAAGCGATTGAAGGGGAAAAAATTAGTCTTAAAAGGAAAGAAATTAAAACTTGGAAAGTACAGATATAAAGTTGCTTACAAAGATATAGATCACATGTCTTGTGTTTTTAATAGTGGTAAATCTCGCAGGCCTTACAAAGCAGGTACATACCGACAAAATTAACAATGTCATTTTAAATCGACATTTTGCTTTTACATATTAAATCCACCGATTCTTGATTTTACATACTGTTTACTATTTTTTTCTTTCTTTTCAGTTAATGTTAAATCAGTGCTGAGAGTTGTAGCGCATGAAAAAATATTTAAAAAACGAAAATTAAGTCAACATGCAAATGAGACAGTAAACTGTGCAGACTATGCGAACTATGCAGATAAATGCCATAAAAAGCATAAATTTAAGAAAAAGCAATAAAAATTCATCAAATAAAGTACACACGTCTCGCGGGCTTAAAAAATAAAATACTCTGATCTTTTAAATAAGAATGATGACTAGAATTCAGCATGAAACATTTAAGAGTTATACGAACCTACTTCATTAGATTTATTCTATTAGTTTTTGTAAATTTTTATTCGAGTAATAAATTAATTTTTTTCGTTCATACGATTTTTGAGAGATTAAATAAATTCGAATATTTATTTAACGAGACAATATTTTTAGTGGGCAGCGTGTAACAAAAACAATTTGTCTAATAAGGAAATTTAATATAATAAGAGTATTTTTAGATAAGAACGCAGTTTTGTGCTTTATGCGTGAAACTAAGGAATAATATTGCTGGAGAGATTATACTACCTGAGACTACTTGCTGTTTGCGAATGGGAAGTTTAAAATGACTAGTCGTCACGTGCAGCCGACCAATGTCGATCGTTGCCGAGTAGTACCGAAGCTATTAAACGAAAATAAGGTAACCAAGTAGCAGCTGTGTTGAATCGAATTTCGCTGTCGAGGCAAAATAAACGTGTATATTATTCTATAGATCGCTGATAACTATTAATTAAAACGATTTACCAAAATATTACGCTCCTATTTTATGTAAATTTCGAAGAATAAAATCTTTAAAGAATAATTCGTGAGTGCTGTCACGAGATATAAAATTATCAAAACGATAACATTAATCCACGATTGATAACAACAGTCAATTGTAATTGTACTTCCTTCTTCCGGAAACCTTTTCGATCGAGTCTTATTCTGATAGTCGGTGTTACGTGTAACGTATAACGTATAATCGATCTCGGCCAGGTCAATTCGTGTACATGCGCATGTAGATTTCGTTCTTGAAAAAACGACCAAGCATTGCTCCTGGTTGTTACTCTGTGCTACTTTTATTTGATTCATTTGATATTTTAGTCTTTTTCTGTCTGTTGAAGACGATTTTAGATACTATTTACAAAGTGGGTTGAATGATGATTACCGATACAAAAAACATGGCTAGTGAATCAGTGAAACTGATTGAAGAAGATGTCGAAGGTGGTGGAAAGGAGCAAGACATGAATGAAATTAATTATATTAACATACGATTAGGTACTTAATTATTCTAATTAATTGAATTCAATGTAGCACAAATAAGATTGCATCCTCGACTTAAATTCTATTGCTACACGTTTCGTAGGTTTTCTTCGAAAGGTATATGGCTTGTTAAGTCTTCAACTTTTGATAACTGTAATGGTATCTACAGTATTTATGGCATTTCAACCCCTTAAGACTTTTCTACAAGAAAAGTAAGAAACTTTTCTATGAGATTTAACACAGACACGCTATGCGGATGAGAAAATTTATTTTTTAATTACACAATTTTAGTCCTTGGACGATAATGTTGTCGTTTATCATGACTATGGGAACTTTAATCGCACTGTACATAAAAAGGAGAGAACATCCAGCGAACTTGATGCTATTGACTTTATTCGTGAGTAATCGAGCCGGTGTTTGTAAAAATCCTTTCGATTCGAAGCAATAATAACTTTTGTTTCACCGTATAGACATTGTCGAAAGCTTACACAGTTGCAATACTGGTGTCGATGTACGAAGTCACTACAGTTCTGCAGGCACTCTTTTTAACATTAACAGTTGTGGTAGGACTGACGATCTACGCGTTTCAGGGCAAGCGACAGCCATCGATCTCAATTTCCGGGTATTTTTCTATTTCTGTTTCTCTATTATTATTAAATTAATCGCAATTCTAAAAATTCCTTGTTACATTTCTAGGTTGTTCATTGGCCTTTGGATCTTATTGCTCGGTGGTTTCATGCAAATATTTCTACAAAATAGCCTACTAGAATTGACACTGGGCATCACCGGGGCGATATTAATGTCCATGTTTATAATATTCGACACTCGTTTGATGATGCATACACTCTCCCCGGAAGAGTACATATTGGCTACTATTAATATTTATCTCGACATAATTAATTTGTTCATGTACGTTCTAAGAATTCTATCGGAGACGTCGCAATAGGCTACAAATTCGTGTATTCTTGTTTCAATTGGTATAAGTTACTTCAATTTTTTAAATAAATAATTTTCAATACAAATTCTGGGTACATCTAAGTTTCGAACGTCTAACATTGTGAATAGTATTAACTATTAAAAATCGAATTGATTTCAATGCTGTTTTTATTGAAATACACAAACGAAATACGATCAAAATTTACGAAGTTTCCATGGCTGCGGTCGAGTCTTCCGTGTATTTTCCCTTGTCCTTACCCAACACCGCGAGTCTGCCTTTACTTCGCCTGTCTATGATCTTTTTGCGATCCTTGTCCATCTTTAATTTTACAATAACAGTCTATAAAAAAGAGAAAATATACATTAGAAGACAGTTCGAACGAATCGTAGCGATGGATAATGTAAAACAGTAGTAGTGTCAGTACCAATTTTTCTGCATTAAAGAGACTAAGCGAAACAAATCCGTCGACACACAGGAAAACCCTGAGTATCGCCGTCATTGTTTAGCTTTGTGTCTCGTTCTACGTGAATGGTTTAGTTCATCATTAATCGGTTATATTTTGAGAGAAATATCGTATGGAAAAGATTGCTTCTTACCTTAGATGGATCGATACCAACGTACACATTAGCACTGTTCGCCTTTTCACGTTGTATTCTTTCTATGTATATGACAAATTTCTTTCTGTACACTTGAACGACTTTGCCTACTTGTTGGCCTTTGTAGTGACCGCGAACAACCTTTGAAAAATAAAACGGAAAACGATTTAAAGAACGCGGTTCTATGAAACGAACTTTTTGCCATCAGGACTGCTCAGAAAAACTAAATAAATTACGCTACCTGAACTTCGTCATCCTTGCGGATCGGCATGTTACGAACATTGTACTTTTGTCGAAGTTCTTTCGAAAGAGGCGCTGACATGAGCCTTCTACGAATGTGGGAAGGCGCTGTGAAGTGCCGTTTTCGATTTTTTCTACGCGAGGATGTAACGAGACGGTTGAACTTCATCGTTGCTGGTTACCTGCGCAAAGAAAGAACGGTCTTTAACATGATTTAATAATCGGCAGCGACAAATTACAATTTCGTGTACACGACAGTTAAATCACGTGGCTGTTTCAAACACAAACAACAAACAGGCTAATTCGTCGATGTTAAAAATACAATTATTATCCGTATTCTAATACAAAAAGAATATTTTAATTCGAACGTCGGAGGACGAGTGGAACGATTCGGGCACAAAATACACCATGGAAACTGCTTATTTAAGTTCGATTGGAACAGATTCCGATTGCCACAAACTCACCGTTTACTGTCGGTACCGCGGTCCCTACCGGAAGAATATTTACACACACATACAAGTACCGGAAAGACATGATTCGACTGTAGTACGTACCATTGGTCAAAGAAGTTCAATGGAAACTGTGCTTGTCGCGTAATCAACGTTTTATTGGTTCCCTATGGAGCCCTGGTTAGGAACGTACCGTAGTTTCAAAGGGAGACATGTTACAATATATAATAACTTGTATTCTGTTTAAGTCACATCATTTTACAGGAATCCATTTCAGCATCTTTTGGAATATACTATAGTCTTGCGATAGAACTACCCCTCGGATTGGGTGGTCGTATACTTAGCCATTAGTCTCCTCTACAATTTGTTCGTTACAGTGGTATAGTTTACGGTATGAAATTTTAAATAAATCTATTCTGATATCAATCTATACGCATATAATAAAAATAAATTATTTCGCGGGAATAATTATCGTAGATTTTCTTGGCTCGGGACGTCGGTGATCGATATAGTGTTTTTCGCATTTTCTCCAGAATCGTCTAGATTCTTTTCATTTTCCCGAGAACAGGAAATTCCCGTTGACGAATACATAGTTCCGATCTTTCCTTTGACGCGACACGACGTAATTATGTTACGGGCTTGTGTCAATTATCGTGAATAGTGGGTAATCGTATAGTTTCGGAGTCGCAGTATTACCGTTTTCCAAGGTCTTGTAAAAATATCGCAGTTATGGAGATACTAAGTTCGCAGGAGGATTCACCGTACCGCAAAAATCGAGTGAGTAAATATTCGATCAGCGTACGCGTTATTTCGTTGAAAGAAACTAATTTTGTTTGTATCGGATACTAAAAGACAGACGTTGTAATACGCAATATCGCAAGTGCAATGGTGCAGTGTTTGTACAGTGTCGTAGAGTTCTTTTTTTTTTTTTTCTAAATTGTTGCTCTTTTCGAAACAAAACAAACTTGATTTTCAACCGTAACTATTTTTCACTTTCCTCGTCCATTTTATTATTGTTTTCATTGGCTGGCGTGCGATCAACTGTTTTCTTTCCGTGTTACAACCATTCGTGTTTAATAATAGTACGGCTGTGTGCGTTGCCTGCACCGAAGCAAAGCGCATAAATAATTATCCTTCCGCGCATAGAGTTTTTGATGCTTATAATCTTTGATACATCGATCCGCGCTGATGTACGACAATTTAATTAATTATAATTCGTCGTTGGTCGTTCGCTTAAATGGAAAACTACCTTCTACTTGAAAGAGTATACAGGGAGATATGAAAATTACGAATAATGACGAGTAGGCAATTTTTTGATTATACGTTGCACGGCAAATGTGAATAATCGCGATGTTTCGAATAATAATATTTATGTTCGCACGTAAAAAGAGAGGTTGAATGTTTTGGGAAACGAACGCAGCGACGTTTTATTATGACATGCACTTGTGTCTGTCCTCTTTTTACGATCGAGCATTTAGTTTGTGCCTGTATCGAATAAACGTCTAAATTTTTACGCGCGCTCGTATACAGACACAAACACGCATGCATGTATCGTTTTTTATTTATGTGTAGGTCGGTAAAACAACAGGCAGGTTGATCTCGTAGAAGAGGATTCGTTCTACCGAAAGCTTCTTGGAAGACACCCTACTAATAATTTTCCAACAGTATTTTGAACTCATGCAACGAGTTACGATCTAACGAAAACAAGTAACCAAATCAAAAGGTAAATAAACCGTCAAATCGCGGAAGAAAGCAACTTTCAGTGAATCACAAAATGGGCTCTACGAGACAGCAAGATAGATCTCTTGGTAGTGGAATATCATTACCGCAGTGGATGAAGGGAAAAGTCGATAATAGGTATGATCTTAAAATCGTCTGTCAAACTCTAGTGTTTGGTTGTTAAATGTTAATTGCGTGACTCTCGTGATATGCTTTGGGAGCCAAACATTAGGACTTGTCTGGAGACACGTATCGTAACGAGCAATGGATTTGAAACCATTTAAAATCATTTTATGTGCTTCTTGTGTACGATGGGCCTGATCCTAAACCTTGACAAATCTTGTTGCGTAGAGGCCCTTTAAGAATTATGGAAAAGAAGCCAAGTTGCGTTACATGTACCTTATTGTTTCGAAAGATATCGCACGATCGAATAATTGATTGTGACCAAGGTCACATATTTGCGACAGCAATTTCATGTCCATGTAGATAAAGTATACTGCGGTTATGTGAAATTCTGTATTCAAAATACTCAAAATAAACTAAAGTGTCAACATTTTCTGGCAATCGACAGTACTTTCCCAGTTATTGCACGATCATAGATGCGTTTTTTTTACTATGGATTGTGCACGTTCAAAACAGTAGACTCTAGTAACGATACGTTATCATCAGTATCTTTATCAATGAATAAATATCGGGAATTTGAACTAATCGCAACGGTAAAAAGCAAGGTCGATCTTCTCAAATGCAGTCGACGGTATCGTGAGTTCATAAATAAGAAAAATCGAGAGCTGTATCGATTTGTTCGCGAAACAATTTCACTCGTGCAAGATCGTCCCTCTTCTGGTACATTCTCGAGCGCGAGAGAATATTTACAGGCGGAATTTGGCCAACGTGACCAAACGGCTCATAGCACGAGCATTGCGGTCGCTATTCTTAGATCTTGGACTCATGACTGTTCGCGGATTCGCCCTCGTGGTTTCGTTGCGGCGTACAACGTTTGTCTTTGCTCTTTCTCCGCTGCTTTTTACAGAGCATGTATATCCGCGATCTATGCAACAAACTGCGATCGAGTAATGTTTTTTTCCCCGGTTGGTCGAGCGCGTGACGTACGCCGTAACGCACGCATCGAGTAAACCGTGTACGTCGAAAATCTCGCAAGTGATCCGAGATCAATTGATCGTGCAATATGTCGAATTAAATTATCCGGACAATGTCCTTGACGTTTGTGGGTTAAGTTGGATATGGAAATCACGTAAGGTAAATGTTACAAATTATCAGCATGTTTGTTTTTTTTACGATCGTCACTTTGAACGATAGAACATTCTCGGTCTTATTGTTTGCCCTACATATGAGAAGATAGAAAATGTCGTGGGGTACAGTATCCTCTGCGTTCGTTAAATTGGTTTCCACTGACGAAAAGCTTCAATAAATTAAAATATCACTCGATATACTGTCGATCGTGGTGAATTATTCGTCCCACTTACCACCACCGTATATGAAATTCAGAATTTAATTTCGTATGTTCTCAAGGAATAAGTTACCGATGTTGTAGTTAGTGTTGTATCAATGCACGAGTGTATCGAAATAACGATAACGTAAAAATTGCTTTTCCAAGCGTTTATGTATGGAATTAAATGAAAATCGTGTATATCTTTTCGAAAAATGAATCCAAGTATTATATCACCAACATCTGACATCTGAATCATCAAAATCGGTTAACACGTTGACTACCACGTTTGTTCGTAGTTATAACCTGAAAAATAAAAGTGTTAAATAATTCAACGATGCATGATTTTATAGCACTTCTAACGACAGTAGCGTTATTTACAATTAATACAGCTGGTCACCGGTGACCACTATGGCGGCCAACGTGTTAACGTTATTTCTAGGTGTCTTTTGACATCTTAATCGCACAGTATAAACAAGTATTTATCATTAAGAATAAATTGATATACGTTGGTTTTATTTATTATTTGTTGTTCGAATAAAGTTTCACAAATTTTAAACACCGTGATCCGAGCAATTTCTATCACGCTTTTTCTTTCATGCAGATTCGACTTCGACGAAAGTACGTTCAGCCCTCCATCTCACGACGACAACTTTTTCTACATACGGTATCCAAAGTCACAGAGTACATTGTCAAACCAGAAAGAGTTTCGGCCAATCGACAAAGTTTTCGGGGAACAAAGCATCGCTTCGTCGACGAATAATGTGAAGTCAGAGCAGCTCGCAACCGACGGGAAGAGAAGTCAGGAAATCGATTTTAGCAAGCATCCCTTGCCTTGTCAACCATTTGTACCGACTTCGACTAGCAAAGGTATCGATTACCGTCGACTGTACGAGATTTCAGCAAAGTCAAGCAGATCGTATCCGCTTCAAAGCGAACATAAAAATTTCGTTAATGGACGAAACATTTGTACGCGAATTTGTTATTCGTGGATCAAATTCGCCCCTTCTGAAACACGATAGAACGATCGTATATCGTCGGTGGGGTGCAATAATAATCTTAAAAATATTTAATCGTTTCGCTGCAAGAGTTACAGAATTTTTTCGAACAACCCTGGCCGCTAGAGGACAGTTACGTCATTATTGAAATATGATCCATCCACGAGGAAATTATTATTAGCACGGTTATATAGACCTCTCAATATTGTACAACTTTATTCAATGAAATTTCTTTGCGCGTCTAAAAATAACTGATATAATTAAGGTTATCAAAGTTATTGCTCCCACCGTGTGCACGAGGTATAATTGCATACGCCGACCGTACGGATACTGGTTAATTTTGTTTTAATTGCGTAACCGCGGTGGCTGAATGTTTCGTGTCGTTTTCAGAAATTCGACATATCTCGAAGACCTGGTCGATCGGAAACGCGAAAGCGAAGTCTCAAGGGATAGACGATGGATTTCACAGCGAGCCAGCGCTTTGCGGAAAATCGATCGTTCACGTAGCTAATCAGATGATGTCCAACAAGTTCCATAAGACGTTTGCGGCCGAGACGGCCGAGGAACCACTGAAGAAGGGCAGCAAGTCTTTGCCGGCTACTCCGTTGGCTTCGCCGATCGGAAGCCCGGACAGCTCGCCGAAGGCTCGTAGACGTTCGAATCGTTACTTCACGGGCCCTTTTCTACCCGATCGCGATAAGTACCATGGCAGTTGGATCTTGGCTAGCATACTGGGACAGTCCAGAGAGATCGTGACCACGAAGATCGACGAGGAAGACGAGACTGGCGTGGACGCGCTTGCACCGCCACCTAGGTCGTTGAGTCGAAAGAAATCCATATCGTCGCAGAATCTCACTTACGTGGGAACCGACGAGAGGTCCACCGAAAAATCGACCGTCTACTCGAAGGTGTTCCAAGCAAAGCCATCGGAGTTAAGGGAAATGAATTTCTGGTCGCCGACATCCATGTGAACCACGTATTTATCCTCCGTACGTTTTAATTTGTCACGAGTCCGTTCTTAGAAGGGATGCTCGAAAGTAACTCGTTCGCGACACTATCCACCGCATTTTTCACGAGATGAACGTTACACAAATGAAAAAGAAAAAAAAGAAAAAGAAAGGAGAAGCAAAACTTTCTGTATTATTCGGTTCTGTCCTTGGAGTGTTTGTGTTGCAACATGTCTTTCGAGCCCGCACGTTACCGTTTTAATTCGCAGCTATTGTAGTTGATATTTTAGCAATGGTATATTCGTTATCGCGCACATAGTCGTCGTTGTTCGGAGAAGTCTCTCGGGCAAGAGCCAATTTACGTAGACGCTTTCGACGTTCGTAGCTATTGTACTATAGACAACTAAAAACGAATGGTCCGCGCGCTGAGAAAATTTCTCAAACTTTGCAGCAGCAACGTCTAATATTCTAATTATTTTATTTAAATAAACGGCGTCGATTACCGCTCGTAGCTAATTGTTTGATTTTATTTAATTTTAGATAATATGAATGGAAGGGAAGAGTATATCATATAGTAAATGTACGTGTTTTTCGTCACATTTGCACAGTATGCGTGGGGAACAGAATGCGTAAAAGAATTGAAAAATGACCAAACGCGTGTAATGACGCGGCTCCGCGATCGATCGTCGTAGAGGAAATTTTGTTTAACGAGAGGCTCGTATACAAGTGAATTGCGTGGGTACCAAAGTCTGGGTGGGATACGTGTGTATGTTTCCTGCAATGTTAGCATATAACATTTGCGAGCTAACTATGAATCCAAAAATACTGGCGTCGGTGTACGCGAGCGGTTGAGCGTTGAAATTTTTTGCATCGATGATCGCTCGCGTGACACAGCTTTTCTACTTTCGAAAACGTAGTAACGACTACGGGAACCGAGCGAAAGTCGCGTTTCTTTGATACAATTGCTACAGCTGGGGCATAGAATTGGATGCTGAAGCGTGTCGCGACAGTGCAGTAATTGAGTCAATATAAAGTCGAGTTTGTGAATAAATACGACACACGAAGTGTTGCTGGGACATCGCGATAGTTCCATACGCGACAGCAGGAACTAGCGAATCGATAAATAAATAATTCGTGTTGCCGCGAAATTGCTCGGTACTATGATCGACGGAAACATACGATTCGCGTATTGTATGAAATTTTCTAAGGAGATAATAAATCAAGGAAGCCTTTCACTCCGTCAGAGTTTTCATTTTGTCGAATCCTGAGGCCAGTGATGGACTTTCGTTGGATTTTCCTGATCATGCGCACTGGAGCGAGCGCCGAGTCCTCACTGTCGTATACACTTAACTAGAATGTAGGGTACCGTTGGATCCCAGGAAGAAACAAAATTTAAGAAAATTACAGGGAAAGAGACAAGTTTTTACGAAGGATAACAGCATAAATGTACAATAAAAAATGGAAAACAATTCATTATTTATTTAGTTTTTACGTGTGCAGCCGATTTATTAAATCTGCAGAAAACCTTACCAGTATTCGAACAAAAATGTTGCACGTAAAAATGAACGTGAAACACGCAAATAAATAAAGTATACAAAATTATATACTTAAAACTAAAAATGTTGGAATTCCCAACAGGCCTCTTACATGCACCCCCTCTTACGCTTAAGATACATCTATGGTAGCGAACGACATATAACTGTGACGTCAGCGTACGCATGCGCAGAAAGGAATGTCGCGAGGGAAAAATCCTACGGAAGTCCATCACTGGTCCACACTGGTTCTCTGTTCAACTTCGATAATCGAAGAACCGCGTATCGTATCTCGTGACTCGCTGGTTCGAGACCTATCGAAACGAGTCACGAATCGTTCACGTGATTCGTGTTTGCATTGGTAAAATTGACTTTTGGTGGGTTTGGTCTGCTTGTAAGAATTTTTGAAGAAATTGTTCAATTGAAGAGAAAATGGGAGCATCGTTGTTACCAGTATTATTTTTTACGGTACTCTGGGGAGTAGTAGGAATCGTTTTACCCATTTTTGTACCAAAGGGCGTAAATCGAGGGTAAGTGGTTCGTTCCTTTTCAACCGACTTGTACGAAGGTTCCGTTTTTCAAATGTTACACGAAAGAATTACCTTGAAATGTCATAAATTTGATCGGAATGTTACTATTGTTATTGACCAGTATCATTGCTTTAAATATACGCCTTTCTTTCCAGAATTCTTCAGGTTATTCTTATGTTGACAGCTTTCACATGTTGGCTATTGTAAGTTGACTAAAACTCGAATAAAGTATTTCAATGGATTTGTAATTCATGCATCTTGCTATATACTATTCTCTTTCGCAGTTGGTTATGTTGCTACATGGCGCAAATGAATCCCCTTATTGGGCCAAAGCTATCTAATGTCACGATACTTATGATGGCTCGCGAATGGGTAAACATTGCTTTCTGTCTTATTTCAAAATTTAATTGCTGCTGTTACTTGTTAGTTTTGTTAAGATGGTCGTACTTTTTTTTATACAGAATACATTTATTACAGAGTAACGTGGAGCTTTAATGGTAATAAAGAGGAACGAAGGAACGATTGTTAAGGGAAAATAATGTTTGTCATAAATATACCAAGTTGTGTCTATAAAATTCAATTATAAATAAAACTATATGGTAGCAATGAAAATCGAACATTTAGGTGCATACTTGCGTACATCAAACATTTTAGGAGAAAATGAACACCATTCGAGTATTAACATTCCGATGATGTAAAATTTAGTTTTATGACAATTATATGATTTAATTTCGCGCGAAACATTAATTTAATATCATACAAAAGAAGTATGTACACCATGTAATATATACAGTAACAAGATTAATAATAAAAACAGTTAACGTTTAGTTGAAATACAGCCGAATCTTATTTCTGTATTATACACAATTCTTTTTATGTCATTTTTTAATGTACGGCCCTTGCTTTAGTTAGCAAATTTCGCATCAAGTTTTCATACTTTTTGTACGTAAAAAGGAATCTGTCGATGTTTAAAGATCGATACAGAACCGAACCCATGTTCATACGTGTGTGCGCCGTGCGCGCGCGCATATTACATTCCCGTACGTATATGCTATATGCGCGTGAAGCATATGACTTTTCTATGGCGCGCGCACGAGATGCAAGTGTGTGCAGCCGCGGGGCCTATATCTTTTACATGTGACTTGTGCGTAAAGCAAAAGTGACAAGTAGTGACGCGATATCACTAAGAAAAACAATAATGGAGGCGTGTAATGCGGTTGAACGTGAAGTTGACAAGGTTTTATTGAAATTCGGTGCGATAAACGAGCATGCAGAGACGGTACTTCGCGATTTGATAAATCACATCGAGGCGTTGAAAAAGGAATTCGAAGAAGGTAAAATAGAAATCTCCGAGCCACTATAACGTCACGTCTCGTTGACACTTTGTCAACGAGAAGAATAAAATCTTGCTGGCTGATGTAGATAGATATTTGCACCAAACGTCGAACGAACTGCAAAAGACTATGCTAACTTTCGTGTCGTAAATGCTGCAATCTACGCAGTCGAGTTATTTTGATCCGTGAAGGATTTAAATCTTTCGTTTCCATCTTGCGATGATTCGTCTAATTCTAACCTCATTCGCTGCAGCTCTCGATAAAAATTTCTCTTCGTGTTCGGAACGCGTTTAGATCGTAGGTATTTCTGAGTTAAGGGAAAAGTAGATACTTAAAATTATTTTACGACAGTGTAATACTGTTGGGATTTCTTTTTATTAGCGCCGCTCGATCATGAACTGACACCAGGTCAAGCCCAAGTGTTGAAAGAAACGATGACAAAGGTTCGTGAAACTGCCCAACGTTTGGCCACCGATCACCGGGAGTTGCACAGTACAGTGTCCAAGGTAGGAAAGGCGATCGATAGAAACTTTACTGCCGACTTTGCGAGTACCAGCAGAGAAGATGTTTTCTCTGGTCCAGAGAAATCACATTTGTTAAATCAAGTCATATGTCAACATTTCTATCGTCACGGCATGTTGGACATTGCAGCAGAGTTAGCTGCGGTAAGTATACAATATTTAAAATATATTTTAGTATACGCAATGTTTTATAGCACGAGGGAATCACTTCAACAATAGATTCTGCATATAAAAACAATAAAAAGATTGTATATAAACATATGTTCTATTTGAGTTTGCCTTTGAACTGTAGCAAGTTGAAAACAAGGAGAAATAGAACATATGTTCAATTGCTTCGATTGTAATTGTCCAATTTCTATGCCAGGAAACAGGAATTAAAACGGATGACGAAACAAAAGAACCGTTCACAGAATTGAACTACATACTCGATTGCTTGAAGCAGAGAGATTTAGAACCTGCGTTGGATTGGGCTAAAAAGCACAGAGAGGCGCTTCTAGCACAGGTACGTAAGGGTTTCTCTACATTATAGAAGTACAATGGTATCTTGTATTTGTCTGACATTGACGTTTCGTTGTAGAATTCTTCTCTGGAATTTAAATTACATAGGTTACATTTTATAAGACTAGTTCAACAAGGTCCTGCGAAACAAACAGAAGCAATAATGTACGCTCGACAAAATCTTACGCAATACGTCGGGCGTCATGGGAAAGAGGTGCAAGCTTTAATGGGCACGCTACTTTATTTGCCAAACGGGATACAATCCTCTCCTTATAGTCATTTGTTAGATCCTACTTTGTGGCTCGATATTCACGACGTGTTTACAAGGGAGGCGTGCACGTTGTTGGGTTTAAGCGTGGACAGTCCTCTTTCTGTGTGGTACGTTATACTCGTTTTGATACAATCGAAATGCTTGCGAACCGTTAGAGAAAAGGAACTTGCGATATTCTGTTGTAGCATTAACGCGGGATGTACTGCGTTGCCCACGCTTTTAAATATTAAACAAGTGATGCAACAGAGGCAAGTAACGGGCGTTTGGAACGGGAAAGACGAGTTGCCGGTAAGCAATTACTGCAAAACGGACGATCGAAAACCTAATCGCGCACTACTCGTATTACTTTCTTTTGTTCCGCACAGATTGAAATAGACTTGGGCAAACAGAGCCGTTACCATTCTGTTTTCGCGTGTCCGATTCTGAGACAACAGAGCACAGAGAATAATCCACCGATGAAACTGGTTTGCGGTCACGTTATCTCGCGAGACGCGCTGAACAAGCTCACCAGTGCAAACAAGTACGTCATTTAGTAAAAAGGATGATAGCGTATTAAAATCGAAAATCGGTACCCGGAAATATAGAGGAAAATAAGCGAAAAAAAAGACACCGATTCTTTTTCAGATTGAAATGCCCGTACTGTCCGGTGGAACAGAACCCAGAGGATGCTAGACTTATATATTTCTAGACTACTGTGATACGACGGTTACGACAGAGATGTTTTGTTAGATCTCTACGGAAACATCACGCTTAAACCAATTTAACTACACACCTACGTCGGAGCATCGTATTCTGTGAATTTTTATGGTAACCATATACTTTATTTTTTCTTATTAGACTGATCCCCCGACCGTACCGTTGACGCGTGAAAAATTGTACGTCGACATGCTCGTCCGTCTAGAGGCAGGTTAATTTTGACATCAATAGCGACGGCAGTTAATCATTTTCACTCCAATTAGTAATGTTCAGTGTCTTTTCGTGATCAAACAATTCAGCGTAATTATATAAGAATTGAAATATGTTAATTTAGTTGTGATTGAGAATGAAATATATGTATATATATACTTACCATATATATATATATATATTTATATTCACGTATGTGCGAGTATGATGATATAATTAAAATCACGTACTAAGTAACGCGTTTTTGTATATACTAATGTTAAATATTGTTAATTACCATTAAAGATGTTCGTAAGGAGAACCATTGACGGTGATACATGACTCATGCAATTTGTATTGGTGTACATACATTATGTATCGATGTGGAATCGCATTTTGCATTTTTTCCGTTCATAACGTAGCGTCTACTTTTCATCCGACCGAAGGGATTCGCGTAACAGTTACCGATGCGTGTCCATTAACGAAATATTTTTCTACCCTGAATATTTAGAGAATAAATAAACAAACTATTATGTATCTATCGTATTAGTGTGTCGTAAATGTAAGTAATATAGCACGCCACGAATGAGACGTTGAACACCATCACGTTGAACACGTACGTTTATTTGGTACACGATATTGAACAGTACACACATGAACATGTCATACTTCTAAGTAACAAGTAACGTCGAGTAACGGTCAATTCGTTAGAACAAAGTCGATCGAAGTAGTGAGGATAAATTCTTTAGATGCGAATCTAAATCGATATTTGGAGCACCGTTCGAACGTCGATATCGATACCGGAAAATAAAATCCACGATTTTCAGACTCGACACGCTCGTTCAAGGATACCCTTTCCAAAATTTACCATCGCATACGTGTACTTTTTTTTTATCCGCGTCCATGCAGTTTTACATACAACACGTATACATGTACGCAACACCATACAATTCGCAATTGCTTATCAACTTTAATAAGGAATACCTTTATTTTCCTCCAAATTTTGCTGTTTTTCAACAACTACACAGGCATTAAGTGTCGGACCCATACACCAGCTGGTTAAATATTTACGTAACAACCATAGGGATACAAGAAAATATCGCGTTCGTAACGTAGTTGCAGATAAAATTATGCGTACGTATGATTAGAATTGGTAAGGGTTAACGTTCGTTTGTTCGTTCTTTTGGCGCCAACTGAATTTTAGTCCTTCTCCCTCGTCCGTCGATCGCGTGTAATCGATCAATCGAGAACGCGCGGTTTATCGACGTGAACGTTATCAATAACGAGAAAACGATCGTTCGCCTTCGTCATCGTTTGCTTATTGTCTGTTCACAATAGCAGCCATCGACGAGTTATTTGCTAAGATTTTGTTTTCAATTGTTTTTTTTTTTTTTTTGTTTTTTTACGCGGTACAAATATACATCGAAAAGCATTGCGCTGGCTGGAGTATACTGGTTCACGATCGAAGCTCGATATCAATATGGCCGCTGAATTCGCGCGCGAAAGTATTAGGAAGCGTATCGGGTCGATGTTATCGACGTATGAGTGAATTATATTGATTTCGCGAATTAACCTGGATGAATGCTATTGTTTGATCGTGCATGTTTGTAGGTGTGTGTGCTCCGACAAGATTCCTAACGACGGAATTGTTTTTGCGGTGATCAACGGTGAACCGTCGTTTCGACGTCGGATTCGCAACTACTTTTTTCGAGAACAGCAATTTGAATAGCAGCGGATCGACCGCGGTGCCATGTATCGTGGTAAGTGTTTCACATTAGGTCTGCAAATTAATTTTCGGCCTTCGGTAACGATAACGTATATTTATGAATAGTCAAATTAGATTTTTGGTATTCGAAATAACCTTCATTAGGAATACGTCACGATCCTCCCTATAAAGAAAAGATGGTTCAAGGAGCAAGTCGCGTAATAGAGAACTCGAAGGAAAAATTGCGTTGTTTGGACAGTCTATCCAAGTCCCTAATTTTTTTATAGGTTATTTAATGCGGAGGCCGAGAATTAATTTGTAGACTTCGTATATTATATCGTACGCACGCGAAAATTTAATCGAAAGACGATAGACGTAGATCCTTCGATTAGCAAAATTGAAGAGAAAAAAGATAGGAAATGGCGAAAATATTCCGCGAATAGAACGAAAAAAAAGCCAGGCGAAGCGTCATCGATTAACGATAAAGTTGACTCGAAAAAGTGGGGGTGTAGCTACATTCTGCTATAATTGCTCCTTAAATACACAATTATGTACGTCCTCTATATTTACAGAAATCTGAACGATCCTTAGCGCGTATACATCTTACGGTACATTACAACGGGGATAGCAATAAATACTACGACGATGCAACGATGGCGAATCGTCGTTTCTTGGTGCGATTCTTTACCCCCTATTAACATGACGACGCTGGTTTCTTTCGAACGTCCGGTTCTGAAAGTCGCTCGAGATTTTCATATTCCCCTCCATGCACACGATGCTTCGCGATTTCCTTAAATGTACACGGACGCGGCGAGCGTTCGTTACGAATTCGCAAATCGAATTGACTCGCGTTATTTACCGGGAGTAGGTGTGTCGTGTGACGCCACCTTGTGGATTTCATCGAATTCGCAACGGAAAGCTGTACGCGTAATATTCCCCAAGCTCGATTTCCAGCTAATTGGTTACAATTTTCTGGCCATTGGAACTAGGATTATCGTTCCCGCGAGAAAAATTTCGTTCCGATGGATCCCTGGCGCTATTCTAACCTATGATATTATATCAGTTAACATACCACAGATTCAAATTTTCTACTACGCTACTCAAATATAATTTCGTTTTATATTTCATATTTACGTATATATTCCACGGTTCGCATGCATTTACTATATCTGCGCAAACGACTCGAAAGAGTTATGTATTAGCACCTTTGTCGAAACATTACGGAAGATGTCGCCCCCTGTCTTATAATATTCACGTACATTTGCAGTAGCTTAGGACCAGAATGAACATACGTACAGACAACTTGGCCTTGGTTCATCGATCGATTAACAGATACAGTACAGTCACCTTATCGTTTAAGGTTATAGAACTCTTTATACGCAATTGTTTCTACTCTACGTATCGAAAGACACACGTACACGATTTTTGGCTACCATGCTTACTGAACTATTACTGAAACGTGAAATACATTTATATCGTTTTAACGAATACTCTTAACTTGTTCGAGATCCAACGCGAACAAACAGAAATTATAGGTTAATCGTTCCCTGGCTAAAGTCTCCCGCCGCGAATTCACACAAAGTTTATCGTATGATTTGCTAATTCCACGAACGCATCGACGCTATCCTATTTACCGTTTATTTCGTATCGAGAGTAAGACGAAAGCTTTTATTTTATACATAGAGAGAGAGACATAATGTCCAGAGAGTATCGGAGTCGGGGCATTTATTTTTTTTTATTACTATTCGTTAATGGTAAATTCGCAAGTTGTTCTTCGACCGTCGCGACTTTGCGTAACATGTTAATATATTTTCTTCTTTATCGATTTTGTTCTTTAAACATTCGAAGAACGCTTCATGATGCCTGATCGCTCTTATGCGCGTGGTTTCCCTGCAGCCATTCAGGGAATCCAAACCAGGCGGTTCTTCGTAACGACGATCATAATTTTGAGAGAATTCTCGTCGCGAACGGCCGAATATTTTACACGGCTTACGGTTCGCAAGCGTACACGAACTACAACGAATGGATACCGACCGAGCACGGTGTTAGAAGCTGCGTATACCAATATGCACTTACTCGATAACATTTTGTCGACGCGTACGACTGTTGAACGCACACACTTATTCTTTCGATCTACCGCTACACGTACATATGTACAATTTCCATTAGCTAAAGAAAACTTTATTATCGTTCGGCGTTACCGCTCGAACGTTTTCAATGGTCGATGAAATTTTACGCGGCATTTCGCACATCACGTTTGCTAATGCGTAATTCGACCGTCGAGGATAAAGAAAAAGTCACGTGATCGTTTCATCTGTTCGTGCCGACGTCTAGTGTTCGTCGAGCGTTCGATATCTCGCGATATAATAATGTTAACGAACACGGAGATTTATCGCCTTACGGTTTCGCTAATAACAACGGAAACAAGTACGGATAACCTATAAACAACGTGTCGTGACACAGGGTGCGTGGGAGATTGCTAATTATATTTAACTCGTTGTTCCATCGTGTTGAGATTGCCAAGTAGGGAAAACTGATGGTCGGGAAGCGGGGGCGGTTTCCTTTACTGTTCCTCTTCCTCGTTCTGGTACGTAACGTAGCGCACAGACGATTTCTCGCCGATTATCAACGACTGAAACGCAACCAATGGTAATCACGCGCGTTAACCTTACCGACGTTTCGCGCTTTCATCGAACCATAGACGAGCTATAGAGTAGACCTCTCACCTAATGTATTTTTTCGGCCCATTTTTATTATCATTTTTATTACCATTTTCGTGTCACTCGCAACATTACCAACAACTTACACAAATGAACACGAGAGAATTTTTTTCTCGAAAGTGCGTAGGATTTCGAGGGTATGTGTAATGATAAAAAATGATTGTAATTGCCCCTGCAATCGAAATTAATTTTTCCAGAGTGATTTGAAATTTTTTGTTTTCCCCGAAAAATTAGGGTTCTTATCCGAATTTTTTTCTCGAAACTGCGTAGGATTTCGGGGGTATGTCTATTCACCAAAAATGATTGTAATTGACCCCCGCAACCAAAAATAATTTTTCCAAAATGATTTGAAACTTTTCAATTTCGCCGAAAAATTTAGGCACCTACCCCTTGTCGATTTTTCTTAAAAATTCATTTTTTATTTTTAGTAATTTTGTTTGACGCCCTACAGAAAAATTGTCTAATACTTTTTTGTAGGTACCCATGGGCTCTACTTCGGAAAAAAGTTTTATTGAAATATATTCACTATTGTAGGTGTTATGGTCGTTTGGAAATTGCGTTTTTTGATGCCCGTAAATGCTAATTCAGTGAATAGTTTCTCAACTGACCGCCATCCAAGAGGTCGCTAAAATCACCTCCGAATTGTGAGGTCGGTATGGCAGTCAGATTGGGTCACGAAAGTCCATACGGTGAAAGGTCAACTCGTATACCTCGAATGAATTACCTTCTTTTCTTCCTTCGTGGGCGGTGCTCTCAAGAAGTACATCAGCGGAGCGTAAATAAAGTTCAGAATAGCGATTCCAAATAACATCCATTCGAAGCCAATAGTGTTGACCAATGTACCGCTCAATGCAGGACCTGAAGAATCGATAGATTTTTATCGAACCGTAAACAGTTCGAGAAAACGAGTAAAAGACTCAATTAATCTCATTCGAACGATCAACTACGACTTAATTGCATTTACTGTTTATTTATTAAAAGCATGTGTTCTTTTTATCTGTTACTTTTCTGTTGTTGATAGAACATTGTACAGATGTACAATTTGGTGTTAGGTCTGGGTTAAGTTTTTCCATTTATAGGTTAGATTTTTTCATGTACAACATTTTAGGATTTATTTGGTATTGTAAATAAAATAGCTTACAGCGACAGTAATTGGGTCTTTTACCCTAGTTGTATATTCGTTAAACATGAGAATAAAATGGGGGTAAATATACTGTGTCCCTTTGCGTTTAAATCAGGGATAAATGCATTTGAATGATTTTCTGATTTAATAACGAAGACGAATAACACTATATTTTATTCATTTTTACGCGAACGGATGATAATATTATTTAAAATTTGAATGTAACGATATTCAAGCAGGTCGAGCTCAAGTCTGTTCACTTCTACTTGCAAGAAGCATCGGTGGTTCAGTGGTAGAATGCTCGCCTGCCACGCGGGCGGCCCGGGTTCGATTCCCGGCCGATGCAATTTCTTTTTTTCCCTTTGAAATGAAATTTTTTAAATCTTTTCGCGTCTATAAATTCCTCTACGATGGACACCGGTTTTATACAATTCTCGGTGATCTTTTAGCATGTAAAATGTAATTGTTTTCAGAGAAGAGGGCACCGATAATTAGATAAATAAATGAAATTAGTAAGTGGGGGGGTAAGTATTGTTGAATACGTACCGATAGCGAAACCTAAACAGAACGCAACGTCGCCTATAGCGTAAACGCTTCCGTAAACGGCGCTGTGCCTTATGTCCACCAGGTACCCTAATTCGGGCATCATGGAACTGTCCACCATGCCTATAGCGAATCCCAAACCTGCGTTAGGCACTATCAAGTGATCGATACTCCTGGCTAACGGTATCTGTGGGCACAGAATGGTCGTATTGTACGAAGGTGGAAAGAATGGGAGCAAAAATGGGCAGAATTATTTTCGAATAGAATTGTTTATATTTTATTTATTGTTCGAAGTTTTGTATACGAGACGAACATCACGTTCGCGAATACTTACACACATCAAACAAATGCCAATGACGACAAGCCCGATCAGGGAGGCTAACCATCTGCAACATAAAAATAATATTAAATAAATCGAAAATCGTGGCTTGAATATTTCTATTTTACCAATTGTCGAGGACATCCCTAGAAAAACTGACATTAGAGTCAACGCGTTAAAAATAAATATTACTTGTATAAATTTTAATCGATTTTAATTTTCACTTTTCGTAATATAAAAAATATCATTTTGTATACATGTGAAATAATGTGGAGAAAAACGCGTTGAAAGGAAAAAAAAAAATTAACGCCCGAACAGGGACTCGAACCCTGGACCCTCAGATTAAAAGTCTGATGCTCTACCGACTGAGCTATCCAGGCGATGAAAGTGACGCTGGTAATGGCTTGTTAGCTATTACAGCGGTACAATGAGCAATCTTATTAATTCATCTAGAGAAAAGTTTTTTAAATGATAGAAATTAGCGAACATTTTCGGTGTGAATGATAAAAAAAAAATATGGAATCTTTTTTTTAAACGAGACGTTATCAAAATCGTTCGATTATTTGCTGACCTGCCCATTCTGTGCCCAAGGGGTCCAAAAAGATTGGTACCGATCAGATAACTGATGCTCGCTGGCAAAAACGTGGCACCCTGTTTCCATCTGCTCGCACCCATCGTGTCCATCATCCAAATCGGAAGACTAGGCTCGAGCATAGCGATACCCATGTTGGCGAACGTAATAGCGCCTGAGCGACGAATTTCCATTAGTTTTTTAAAACAATAATTATTTTATTCTCATTTAACAAGCAACGAATCAACAGTCTTTTGTCTTTTTTTTTTTAAGTTCCCGGCAGAGTTGGGCATTATATTCGCGACTGACGGATAAAAATTTTAGGGTCACATACTCATAAAAAAAGTTACAATTTTAACGAGAAAATCTAAAATTGTTATTTGTTATTTGAATAGGAATTTTGCCCATTTTGACGCACCAGCGGCCAGCACGATGTAGGGATCGGTGACCAGTGCCTTTAAAGATGGCGGATCCGCCTCGGTGTAAATGACGGACGGTTGAAGCACCAGAAGTTGTAGAACTGAAACATTTTCTCTCTGTTAGAGTAGGATTTTTAGGGTGTTAATGGCTACTTACTTCCGTCGCCAAGAGCCAATGCCGATAGTATCAGAAACGGAGCCGATTTTCCCACGAATTCGTACATAACCCCACCAAATGGTGGCCCAATCAGAACCCCGAGGGCCAAACCACCCAGCGCGATGCCCATTGCGTTTCCCCGTTCTTTATCGTCTTGATATCTCTCGGCCAACATACCCATACCTGCAAATAATACATCTCTATTATTACATTCAGTTTTTCAGTTTGCATCTGTTCAGTTTCAATAGTACGTTAAATTTTAATTAGATCGTAGTTAAATGGACCAAAAGAACAGTTCTTCCCCTACTGCTAGCGTCGCCAGCGGGAAAATAGTGAAACACAACTGCTAAACCTGCGCAGGAGCTGTTCTGCGCAGGTGTAGTAGTCGAGTTTCATTGTTTTCCCGCTGGTGGCGCTAGTAGTAGGTGGGCAAGCACTCTCTGGCCCATCGTAGATCCACATTTTTCGCTATGCACACAAATACACATTTCTACTAATGGATGAGGCTTTATTATATCTATATTACTAATTAAAAAGATTTTAGTGCAGATTTTAGTCAGGGAATTTACCTGACACGCTCGAGCATGATGACCCAATGCCTTGCAGGGCCCTCGCCAGGAAAAGAATCCCATAACTTCGCCCGAACGCGAATATCAGCGTGGAGAGGAACATGATGATGAATCCGGTGAACATGGGGATGCTGTAGCCGATTCTGAGAGAACAAACGCGACGATCGATCGAACAACAACGGTAATAAATATTCTCATCAACCCCTTAGCTTACAATTACGTCTCAGAGGCCAAACCTTGGTGTCGCTTTTGGCATTCACAGTTGGAAATTAAATCGTAAGGGTAGGGGTTAACACTTTACCGACCGGTAGCGGTTGATTAATCGGCTATCGGTCGGTAAGCGTTGGTCGGTAAAAAAGTTTATTAATACGCTATCGGTCGGTAAGTGTTGGCCGGTAAAAAAGTCGATTAATAGGCTATCGGTCGGTAATGTGTTAAGAATGCACTTCACAGGGTCTTTTTTCTAGCTATAATAGAGTACTTACTTGTGGGTTAGAGGGCCAACGATGGGATTGGCCAAGAGCTGCACGAAAGCCTTCGAAGCGAACATTATCCCAACCGCCACCGTCTCCTCCAACAACTCGCGATGTCTCTGCTCCTTCTCCTTCATCTCCGCTAAACTACCGTTGTCACCCGAGTTCTCTAAATTGTAGAAACAAACGCGAAGGGGCTTCGTTGGTAAAGGATTTCGAAACTGCAGGCTGATAAAAAAATTGTCAAGTCGAAAGACTCTGAATCATCGATCGTTTACGAAGGGCGTTTGCAGTGGGTTAATCACTATACTGTGGTACTTCTGTGGTTTGCAGAATAATTCAATAATTGAATCTCTTACCGGGAAGGTCGATAGTGGACAGGGTGCTTGGGTATAGAAATTCCAGCTGAGCATCGTTCGATCTGTTCGGGGCGCAAGGACATTTCGGTGTGGTGGTTAGGCTACCGGATGTAGTGATCGCAGGTTTGATCGTGGTAGCCAGCTGAGCAGCGGTCGTTCTTCCAGAGCCACTAGATTCGAGATGCTGGCTCAGGGTCGAGTTAGGATGCTTGATGTCATATAGAAATTCCGGTATAATGGGCACTGCAACGAAAACGATTTAAACGAATCTCCTTTTTTTTTACCATTATTCTCTCTTTCTTTTTCTTTACAGAATTAATTGTAATATTCCTTATTTTAAATTTATTATTCTATATTTTTTATTAATGAACTTAATTATCATGATTATTGTTCCTATAAATTCAATGTTCTTTTTCTTTTCTTCTTTACAGAATTAATTGTAATATTCGTTATTTTAAATTCATTATTCTACGAGTTTAAATAAAATATGCAAATACGCTTTAATTGTTATTAGATCGATAGGAAACACGTAGGTCGGTGATAGGTGAAGTAGCTACTTTGCAAGCTCTGATTTCACCGTGGGGGTGTAACTCAGTGGTAGAGTGTCTGCTTCGCATGCTGAAAGTCCTGGGTTCAAATCCCAGCACCTCCAAACCGAGATCAATTTTTTTTTTTCTCGATTTTCTTTCGCCGTCCGCTGGCTCGACGCGGAGCTATTATTTTCAGAGAAACGAAAATGTTTTTTTTTTTGCAGCTGTCGCTTGCATATATATTTAGAGCGCGCGCTCGCGGCGCCTCGATATTCCCACGAACCTTCGTTTCGATCAGGGAAATTAAAGTTCGACGAAACTAAATGCAACGTGTTCGCGTCTTATTTATTGCAGATGGACAAATGTTTATTTTATATCACGATAAAAAAATGTGAAAATGCAAAGTTTCTAAGCAAATCTATTTAAAAATTATACTAATAGTTACACGTATAAATTCTTTTTTACTCTGTATATTTAATTTATAAAAACGTTTAATTGGAAGTGTTTATTTGGACTTTGAAAGTAATATGTATATGCTTGAATTTCAAATAAGTTTTCTTTTTTAAATATCAACTTTGTTTTAAAAGTCAGGATTGATTTTGAGATAAACAGCTTTCATGGATGAAAATGGGGTCAAAGTAAAATCGAAAACTGTTATTTAATAAAAGATGACAAAATCGTAGAAGAACAGGTTCGAGGGAAAGTGGACGTCGCGTGTAAATGGGAAACGAAGATCCCGGATCGTTTGAACGGTCTCGAGCGCATCTCATGATTCGTTAGCGCGCATAAGGAGTAGCTGTTTCGTATACGCTCCATAAATGTATGACCACTTATCTGGATTGCCGTGAACGCGTTGGACGTCCCCTCGCGTATATTGTGCTCCCGACGTTTCCAGAGGGACCGGCTGTAACGCGTGCCTCGTGAATTAAACATACCGCCGCAACGGTAAAAGAAATCAAAGCACGCCCTGAACACTCCCGCCGAGAGGGAAAAGTTAAAAGCTGGAAAATACGAGTGACCAACACCCCCTCCCAGGTTGCCACTAGCTTTTTCCACGAGCTTCCTTTTAGCATCGCGAACGCGTTCCTTACGGTCCGGGGAGTCCCGATCAGAAATTTGATTGCCGTTGCAAGTGGTTAGGGTTAAAGGGGTGCAGCCCTACCACCACCCACCATGCCCCCCAACTCTGAAATTCTTTCGATCATTCGAATATTCTGTCCCTTCCATGTAAAATATTTATTAGCTTCAAAAGGGTTTTCGAAAAATTTTTTTTTTTTCCATTATTGGAAATGAATATTCCTGGTTTTAGATTTTTTTAAATTTCTTATAGAATGTATTTATTACATTTTTTTATAGAACGTTCTATAAGAGAATTTTAAGACCGATAGGAAGAGGCGAACATTCTCGCTAAATCTATTATTACGAAATGTAGGCTAAAGACGTTCCCACGCGTACAGCGTTCTACTTACCGACCGTAGTTAAAAGCATATTGTCTAAGAGCAGAGCAATGGCGACGATCACGAGAACCAGCCTCCGCGATTCCCGACATCCTTGCAGCCAACTGCTCCATTCTCCGCCACCCATTCTCGCTCTCTGCTTCCTCGATTCCCTTTTCGTCGACTAACCTGCAACGGGAGATCCAACGACAGATCGTTATTAACCTCTTAACGTTCATATTTTTCGGGTCGTTTGAGAATCATCAGTTTTCTTTATTAGACTTGTTTCTAACGAGCTATATAAAAATGTTGTATCTAACGTATGATTTGAAGGAAAATAAATATTGTCATCCCTTAAACCGTCAGATTAAACAAATATCGTTTTTCAAAGCAGCAAGACGTGTACCAATGAATCTGCTTATTATCCAAGCATCAATCCATTGCTCTCGAATCAATTAAATTCAACAGAAATTGCTAAGGAACAGTGTTTACGAGTTCTCCAACTTTAAGAACGGAACCCGTTTAACTGAAGTGTTTCGTAAACCTACCTGAATATTATCCAAGTATCAATTCATTGCTCTCGAATCAATTAAGTTCAACAGAAATTGCTAAGGAACAGTGTTTACGAGTTCTCCAACTTTAAGAACGGAACCCGTTTAACTGAAGTGTTTCGTAAACCTACCTGAATATTATCCAAGTATCAATTCATTGCTCTCGAATCAATTAAGTTCAACAGAAATTGCTAAGGAACAGTGTTTACGAGTTCTCCAACTTTAAGAACGGAACCCGTTTAACTGAAGTGTTTCGTAACCTGCTTATTATTCAAGTATCAATCCATTGTTCTCGAATCAATTAAGTTCAACAGAAATTGCTAAGAAGCAATGTTTACGAATTCTCCACCTTTAAGAACGGAACCCGTTTAACTGAAGTGTTTCGTAACCTGTTTATTATCCAAGCATCAATCCATTGTCCTCGAATCAATTAAATTCAATAGAAATTGCTAAGGAACAGTGTTTACGAGTTCTCCAATTTTAAGAACGGAACCCGTTTAACTGAAGTGTTTCGTAAACCTAGCGTTATATATTTATTATTCAACCGCAAACCGTTGCATTTGATTTAAGATAAAATTTTATTTAATAAGGTGTAGATTCCTTATCGATCTCAAGAAAGAGGGGGAGGGGACGAGGGTGGAAACCGATCGGAGTAAAATGGACAGTGGGGATTGGGTGTATTGTGCCCCGGACGCGACGTTTGCGTCGCTCGCGCGAGAAATCTCGAGGACTATTTTAATTAAAGCGACCTGGTTCGTCCCCAAAGACGATCCCGTCGATTTCTCCGCTGCGTCTCGATCACGTTTCAGCCCTTAAAAGGGATCGAAGGAATGTCTTTCCTCGACCTTGCGAAGAAACGCCGCCATTTCGATCCCGTCGCGGCGATACGCGGAATCGAACTTCCGGACATATTCGACCACTTTTCGTCTTTGTTCGTCGAGATGGAGGACGATCTTTCCATCCCGCGAGCTGGAATCACGACCATAAGACGCAATCATCCGCGATTCTTGCTTTGGAGCGTCGGAGAGACTGCGTTGAAAAATATTAGGTCACGTGGATTGGTAGATTGCGTCTACTAATTCAAGCTGGTTACGTTAAATAAATATCTACTCGTGTTGGTTGCGGGTTCGAGTCTATACGCGTTTAAAAGGGTGTGTAGCGTTACTTCTAGGAGTCGCCACCAGAGGGCTACGCTCTTGTCTCTCTCACAAGCGTTCGACTTTCCATTTCTAGATAGGGTGTTCGGCCACCCCTCGAAAAAATTTTAATGGTAGATTCTAGAGGCCAAAATAAGACGAAAATCAAGAATACCAATTAGTTGGTAGAGGCTTCGTTAAAAAGTTATTAACAATTAAATTCAAAAATTTCAAATCGTTCTGGAAAAATTATTTTCGGCTGTAGGGGTCAATTATAATCATTTTTGGTCATTACACATATCTCAGTAATCCTATCCAGTTTCGAGAAAAAAATTCAAGAAGGTGGTGAAATTTTTCGACAAAATTAAAATATTTCAAATCGTTCTGGAAAAAATATTTTTAGTTGTGGGAGTCAATTATAATTATTTTTGGTGAATAGACATACCCTCGAAATCCTACGCAGTTTCGAGAAAAAAATTCAACAGATGCCTAAATTTTTCGATGAAAATAAAATTTTTCAAACCCTTCCAAAAAAATTATTTTCGGTTGCGGGGGTTAATTGCAATAATTTTTTATGAATACACATACCCTCGAAATCCTACCCACTTTCGAGAAAAAAATTCGAGGTGTGAAATTTTTCGACGGAAAAAAAAAATTTCAAATCGTCTTGGAAAAATTATTTTGCTTTGAAACATCCGAGAGGCTGTGTTAAAAAATATTAGAACATCCAAATGAGCAGATTGTTTATTAATTCAAACTGGCGGTTAAACAAATAGGGAATCTACTTAAAAGGATGTAAAAATGTGCCCCCTAAACTGGATTCTCGTCGTCCATAAGGTCTCGAGGGTTAAATAAATATCATGCAATATTTATAGAAAGGTGTTTTTCGAGTAAAAATGCCCAACTTTCCTACAGTATGAAGAAAAATCGGGAGCGGAAGTGGTGTGTATCGTTCGACGAGCGATCATCGACGTTTCGAGGGCGTATCGTTCGATGCACGGGGCTATAGAATTAACGGCATTAATTAGGCGCTTTTAATGGTATCTGCCATGGTCTCTCGCGCGACCATTCCGCAGCCCATACCCTCACCGCTTCTCTTTTATTCGTAATAACTCGATTACCCGATGCTTTTAGCGCGGCTAATTTTCGCACGCTCCCCGTGAATAGGAAACCATTAAGGCTGTCGGAAGCGACGCTCGACAACGATTCGCCCCCGCCCCCCTGGCCTCCTCTTTCGCCAGCTTATTAAGAAGCGCTTTCTCGATTTTTACGAAACCTACCAAGAACTCTGGATACGACTCGAGCCGTGATATTTTTCGAGAATTTTCGCCGGGTCACGAAAGCCCCGAGGACGCCACCTCGTCAGTTTGCAAGAAGAAGGCCCCAGAATACTGTAATATATCGTTTACAGAATCCGAGTAAAATTCTAAAAGCATTTGGAGTCTCAGTTTTCAAAAAATTCCAGTTCGATTTATTAAACCTCTTGCTACTTACTCGTTGTCGAGTCTCATATATTAAAATGTTTTATTTATTTTTATTTTGTTCAACAGATTTTTTTACATTCACGAGGCATTCGTAAAACAAATCTAGTAATTTCCGTGACCCATTCCAATTTAAACAAAATTAAATAGCGAAGGTTTGGAAAACTGATGTGGACATAAATCGTATGTCGAAAAACTGTATTTCGATAAAGTTTGCTCGGATAAGGTTAAATCCACGGAGGTGAATGGAAGGGTGTTCATTTTATCGAAATTTCTGCGCAGACGTTCGGTGAATTTTTAGCCACCCGAGTGGTCCAGCGGAGAGTAAATTTGTCGATTCGACGAAAGTCCATCGTAAAGATTATATTTGGCAAGGCAGATATTTCCAATATTTCACGTGATGTTTGCGCGCCCCGAGAATAATGCTCCCGCGGGGGTTGGTTTAGCAAGATAAGTCACCTTTGACTTTGGTCTTGCTAGCCCAACTGTACCGTGCACACCCCTCCATCACTCTGCCCGCCAGTTCATCCGTCTAACCACTCGTCCGCTTATCCAACCTTCGGCTATCCCTTGTGGGGTGCGATTCTACGCGCGAGTACACCCACCTTCCTCTCCTGCGAGCTGGAGAACGTTAGACTTTGGAACACGTCCTCAAAACCCGGACAATATTTCTATTTAGAAACAAACGTTAGTCCTCCACTCGTCAAACAGCAACTTAAATTACAATTTCACCATTTTTTTGCATAAGGGGTGTTCCATCAACCCTGGGAAAAATCATAAAAAATCATTCTCTTTAAATAATAATTGATCTATAATTTTTGTAATTAATTTTATTTGTAGTATTTTTTTCAAGATTTTTACAAGTATTTTATTGTATATTTATGTTTGTGGGCACAAAAAATTTGCTTATTCAAAAGCCTGTATGTTATAACATATTGAAAGTAGGACGAGTATACTAGTCTTGGCAGCGAATGGGTTAATATTGGACTTCTTTCGTACACAAGTTTGCACAAGAAAATATAAAACTACGTTTAACACTTTACCGACCGATAGTCGATTAATCAACCGCTATCGGTCGGTAAGCGTTGTCGGTAAAGAAGTCGATCAACCGTCTATCGGTCGGTAAAGTAGTTAATATTTGGGTGGACGCAAAGTAAACAATTTTTCTTTTGTAAACAAGTTTATTTTTAATATCGTAGAATCGTGGTAACTCAAAGATCGAAGTTATGGTTGAGATTGATAAGGCGGCCGGGAGAAGTGGGAGGGAATAAGAGAATCGGCAAGTGCGCGGAGTGGGAAGCAATCAGCATTTTCCTGAAAGCCGGGTCGGTCCCTCGGGTGCGTGCATTATTCTCGGAAAAGACCGGAGAAGATTTTTCTCTTGCCACTCGTCGGCTCCCCGTTACTTTGCTTTTTGCTCCTTCCGTCATGTTTCATTCTCTTATCTGTTCGGTAATTACGACGAAGAATGACCGCGAGCAGTTCCGTTTATCTGCCACGAGAAAAGTCCCTTTACCTGCTCCTATTGCCTTCTATCGCGATCCTTCCTTATACCCTGTCGCCGCGGCTACTTCTACGCTCGTTCGCCCCGAGAATTCAATTTTCGCGACTACATTTTTTCTCCATCGACCGCAGGGAATCGTCGAAAGAGAAACCACCAAAGCAATAAAACTCGTTCCGGCTCCTACAATTTATTTCGATACGATCCTCCCTCGAACTCGTATTTTCCTACAGTCGATAGCTAACTATCGGTATTCTAATTTTATTTCGTCTTGGTGTATTTAAAAATGTCTATCAGCCAAAAAGTTTGCGTAAATTAAATAGAATTTTAACGCATTTTTCTGCTCGATAACCTAGCTGTTGACGCCATATTAAGTCCATCGTTAAAAAGAGAAGAAACAGTACTGTTGAATTTTATACAGCGTACAGAGTTTTCCAACGAAAACAAGGGTGAGACGGGAACGATTGTATAAAAATAGATGGTTTAAAATTATCAATGAATAAATCTGTCCCTAAGTTCG